AGTTCTACAGGTTAAGACCAACTGAGTTGGTTACAGTTACAAGAGCTGTAACTTCTGGTTTGAAGAGTAGGCGATAGGCCAGGATGTCAGGGCTATGTTTCCTTTCTCATTTGAATCCATAGAAGTGTTCAAGGCTGACACAACTATTGCTGAACATATGGGGCATGAAGCAGGGCACACTAAAATCTGTGGGAGTTGGCTGTAGACTTCTGTGGGCATTGGATCAGGCTCATAGTGATTGTTTGCTTTGCGAGCTCCTACACTGTCAGGTTAAATAAAACACATACATGATTATTAGCAATACAGGGATTAAGAAAGGTACTCTGAGACACAGTGGGGTAGGGGTGTATAGTTTACAGAGAAATCATGTAATTATTGTTGGTTTTGAATAACTGCAAATTATATCTAACTGTCATGATGGAAAAAAAATTTAGTAATTTGACCAGATTTTTTGTTCAACTTAAACCCTCACAACATTTTTTGGGCTCTTCTTGCTACAACTAAGAGCACTCTGACCAAGCAGAATAGAAGTATTCTGAATTAAAACCATCTTTACTAACAGAAATATTTAATTAAAATAAAAACTCCCTGTGTTGCATTTGATTATATGTAATGAGTGAGCAATAAATATTTCAGTTCTGAACTCTGTAAATTAATTTAAGTGGCCACTTGTGAACAGGTTTGGCCTCTTCTTTGAACTAAATCATTAGGCCTCATTCACCCTTGATTAGAGCCTCTTTGTGGAAAAAGGATGTAAATGAGAAACTAAACTACTGTGGAACTGGAAATTTTCACAGAAAATTATTTTCACAAATTTTATATATGAAATTCTGAAGCCTTCCAGTGAAAATATTTGGACTTGAGAAGAGGTGCCTAGGAAATCACAGGAACAACACTGTGATCCACGAAGCCCGAGTTAGGTGCCTAGACTCCCCATACAGTGAATGGGCCTAGGAAATCACAGGAACAACACTGTGATCCACGAAGCCCGAGTTAGGTGCCTAGACTCCCTATACAGTGAATGGGCTTTAGAATGTGATCCACAAAAGCCAGCATTCTACGCGGGGACATACCTAAACTAGCCCAGGGGAGATGCCAACTAAAGGAGTATGTCTTGCTTCCTGCCCCTCTCAAGGAGGTAGGCACCTAACTCGAGGCTGCAGGGAGGTGTCTCTCTCTGCTTGTGATCCACAGTTGGGAACCTTCTCCAGGAGTCAGGCAGCGTAAGTGCCAAAGTTGTTTCTTGTGAGAATAAGTTAGGTGTCTGCCTAACTCCACCCAAAATAGCAGGAGGAGGTGGCAGTGGTGGTGCCCACCTTATCATCTTTAGTTCAGTGGTTAGAGCACTCACTCAGGATGTGGGAGACCCTGTTCAAATCCTCTCTCTTGGGAGAGTGCTCTAACCACTGAGATGTTGGATATTCTGAAGAGGGGCTCCCTCAATTTTTCCTGTTTAAAGCTTTTGCACCCTGTATAAATAATTAGTCATTGGAGCAGGGTACTGGGCCTTCGGTCTCCCACATCCCATGTGGGAGCTATGACCACTGAACTATAGAGTCATTCAAACTCTCTCTCTGACCCAGTGACTCTTATTATTTATACACAGTGGAACAGCCAACAGGAGAGACTAAGAGCGCCCCACAGTAGAATATCCCAGGGGTTCTCAAACTTCATTGTACCACAGTCCCCTTCTGACAACAAAAATTACTTCACAACCCCAGGAGGGAGGACCAAAGCCTGAGCCCCACTGCCCTGGGTGGGGGGGCCAAAGCTGAAGCTCAAGAGCTTCAGCCCCTGGCAGGGGGCTTGTAACTTGAGCCCCTCCGACCAGTGCTGAAGCCCTCGGGCCCCAGAAGTCTAAGCCAGTCCTGGTGACCACGTTCAAAGGGGGTCCCGACCCACAGTTTGAGAACAGCTGGAATATCCCAGAGCTAAATGGCTAGAATACTTTCCTGAGAGGTAGGATTCAAATAGGGGTCTCCCTTCTTCCCGAGTGGCAGGGGAAGAGAACTTGGGGGTCTCAGGGTATGTCTACACTTCAATAAAAAACCTGTGGCACAGAGTCTGAGAGCCAGGGTCAGCTGACTTGGGCTCAGGCTGTGGGACTAAAAATAGCAATGTAGACTTCAGGCTCAGTGTGGGCTCTGAGACCCATCCCCTTCATGAGGTCTCATATCTCAAATTCCAGCCCGAGCCTGAACATCTACAGTGCAGTTTTAGAGCCCTGCAGCCCAAGCCCTGCAAGCCTAGGCCAGCTGTGATCATACCCTGGGTTTTTTATTGCAGTGTAGGTATACCCTCATGTGCCAAATGAGTGCTCTAACCACTGTGCTAAAAGTTATAAGGTGGAGTATTGCTGCCACCATCACCACCACCTCCTGTCAGATTTTGAATGAGACCTTATCTGGTAGGTGGTCTCTTAAGCACATCTACTGGACTGGGCCCTTGTTAGGAGGGCAAATGCTGATCTTCCCCTGGTTTGTATAAAACTCTGGATGCCTCGACACCTAGAATGAGGCTGCAGTGTGTGTGCCTTGAGGCAGAAACCATCTGGGACGCGGGACATTTACTCTGAAAATATAGGTGCTTGGGTGAGTTTAGGCCCTAACAGGGTTCGGCGGGAGTTCTGTGGATTGCAGTGGAGCCTGAAGCTGGGACTTGTGTGCCTGTGTACCTTTGTGGATCTGAGCCTCTGTGCCTATATTCATCTGTAAAACAGGAATAATAAAGCTTCCTTTGTTTTGTCTATTCATACTGTAAGCTTTTCAGGGAAGGACTGTCTCTCTCAATGTGTAACATCTAGCAAAATGGGGCCCCAATTGGTTGAGGCGATCATGACAGAAATAATAATTCATCCCTCCTCATCTCTCAGGAGCAAGGGTGTTCCCTTAGGGACATTAAGTTCGTGAAGCCTGGAGGGCAGTTGATAATTGAAATGAAACCCTGCTTCAGAACAGCAGGTGATGTCCTGGGAACCACTTGCACCCAAGATACACAGAGAGGGGGTAAGGATAGCATATAGATAGCCTAATGTGAAATGCTCTCCAGAATCAACTCGTGAGTCTGTTTCACCTGGTCTGCTGTCCAGTGATTGGCCAATTAGGTGCATCGACTGTCCTAACTCTTCCTTCTGTTTTCCACGCTCCCCATGGATAGTCACTTACTTGGTCTTCCTTCTCCTGTTCCCTTGGGATGTACAGTTTTTCATCTTTGCCTTTTGTTTAACTTCAGGAGAAGATACTGAGAGACTGTTATTATTTAAGTCTCTGCTCATGGAAGAGCTATTTCTAACCTACAGTTTCATTGTTTTAGTTTTGGGGATATGTTCACAAGAGTAAACAGTTCAAGGTGGAAGTGCTTCTGAATTTTGAACATCTGTAGATATCTAGCATTTATAGTGCTTTTTATCCATAGGTATAAAAACCTTTTACAGTAAATGGTGAGATCTATATTAATTGCAATGTTAAGATTGCACAGTTTAATTTTTTTAAAAGCAGGAAATATAAAAGCTAAGGTTCCTATGCAATAATAAATATGCAGCATTGTCTGTGTGAGTCTATTGTTAATTTCATAGCTTACTTATATTTCTGTTAAATGTACACCTTAGAATATACAGGATGAGCAAAATGGCCACTATAACGTTATATAATTTTGTGGGTTGGCATTTAATTTTCTTTTTTCTTTTCAAAGAAAAATCAGAAGAGAAGAAACACAAATTCTCTCTGCAGAATAATGTCAGTATTTAAATGGCCCTCACTGGGCTCTGGACATTACAGCTCATTGAAGCCAGCAGGATGAAGAAGGGGTGGACTAATACCAGTACTTCACAGGAGGCTGTTTTTTTCAGTTAACAAGGCAGTGGTGTATCAGTTTAGCTTGCAATGGCTCTATTTTCACAACAGAAAATTAGGAATGTAATTTTATTAAAATGAAAGCTTAGAATTTGCTGAATGCAGACCAAACTAAAACTGAGATCAGTAACCTTTTTATTGCTTCCCCCTTCCTCTCAAAACTGCTTGTGATTTTTCTACTAATGATACAGTAGTGGAGCTTCATTTTTGACTTTTTTCTATACATCTTTCCTTGGTGACAGGCACTTTTGTACAGACAGCCTCACCAGCAATCCTTAAGACTAGAATGTGGCATACATAAGACATTGCAGGGAGCAAGACCTCATTAGGCTCTGCTAAAATCTCAGAATACCACTGAACATGCTCAAAAGTGATTTTTTTCTCTTAACTTTTATTTATTTTAACATTTTCCCTTTGAACATAGCAAAGGCTTTACTCCACATTGTGAACTATCCAACTCAAAGTTTAGGTGTATTTATCTGTGGTCGCAGTGTAAGAATAGTAGAGGTAAAAAGAAAACAGGATAGATAACATACATTCTGCTGTTCTGAATTATATAAGTGACTCCTGAGATGTTTCCAGAGATGACCTCTTTGAGCTGAGACCAAGCATGGAAAGTTTCATTCCCCAAGGGATTTCCTTCCCTTCCTCCCCAAGAAATGTATGAACATCTGAAGCTATAGGGGCTGTTACAGTGGAAACCATTTTGCACCCTTGACTATAGTTTTGCTACTGGGGAAAGCTAGAATTCATGTTAACTGCTGTGGTCTTGTAAATAACACATTCAGTATTAGATTTTACTGTATGACATCACATAATATATTAGTGCAGGCCATGTCGTACTTCTTAGTCTCTTTTTCCCCTAATGAATTGAGAATCCCACTGCTCTGTATTTTCTTTTTCCCCAGTTGAGATTCCAGTTTATGGGGTTTTGAACCTTCGGAGGGGAACCAAGTTAGTCCTCCTCATCTTATTTAAACTTTTGTTCATTTGTGTGGCTAGCCCTTTCTGATTGGTTTATTTTCTGGATATCATATCTTTATATGGGTGAACAATTCTAGCTTGACTTTTTTGTGCAGATGAATTGTTTGGGATCTGACTGTCCCTATGCATTTAATATTTTCAATATGTCTCCCTTTGTTTTGACAGCCTGAGGAAGAGCTTGATCCTGAAGAGAGGGACAGCTTCCTCCAACAGCTTTACAAGTTTATGGAAGACAGAGGTACTTCATAACTTAACTTATTATCTCTCGTGTACCAACCCATTTAATGTGTTGTATTATGGTATCACCCTTGCATCAGGGAAACATGTATATTACAATAACTAACCTGATACAGATGAAAACATTTGTAACCATTTTCAAATGGGGCAAGTCTTCTTTTGTCAGATGCTTTTCAGCGTAACCGCAAACCCTGCCTAATTGATGTTTGGTTTTCTGTTGTTGTTTGGTGTGTTGGGTTTTTTTAGACAGTTCTTGATGGGCTAGTACCAAAGTATCTCTGAAATAGCCTCTGAGATGGTGTCCCTCTATGGCAGCTGTGGCTGGCAACTCTGATTTGGAGGATAAAAACACTTCGAGACTTGGCCCTGGGTTGTGGAACTTTCAGCCACCAGAAATCTGGAAATGTGCCATTTTTAAGTGTTGTTGCAAAGCTATCCTAATCACGCACAGACATTCTACTAGTAGTGGAGCAACAGTGACATTCACCTGGAAAGCAACCTAAGCGATCCAACTCGGCTCAATAGTTAGAATAAGGAAGATTTGCTACTTTTCTTGACAGAATTAGCCCAATCTGTTATATGTATGACACTTAGATGCTTATAATGGCAAAGAATATATTGGAAGTGCTGCAGATCCCTTCATACATAGTACAGTGCTTTGCCCTCCTCCCAGTTTCACCCTCCTTACGACCGCAAATTTCAGTGGCTTATGCAATACTAGTTTTCCAGTTTTAGGGAGGCAATCCTTTTGAACACCCTGAGCTTTTCTAAAGGCACTGAAGCCAAAAAATAGGTTATCCTTTCAGCAAATAACATATTGTGCCCACATATTTTATGCTCTGAAATAGCTGTCTTTTTGAATATAAAAAGTTTGCAGACTTGTTTTGATCAATAGCAAAATTGAAAAAAATGTACGAATAAGACTGTACTTTCTTTAGAGACTTCTGTTAAAAATTAGCAGCTGTTTTCCACAGGGCAGAAAATATCTTTTAAAATTTTCTGTAAGCACCGTATGTACTAAAAACTGCTATTTGACCAATTTGTAGATCCCCAAATTGCCAGGCTCCAAAATGATTCCATAGCAGTGGTGACATTACAGCATAGTATAGCAAAGCACATGTGGTTATATCTGGATTTAAAAGGACTGGGGTTGAGAGGAGTAAGTTTAGAATCAGTTACATGCTGAATACCTTCTCTGCCCTTTGGTGAACCAGGGAAGAGTGCATAAAAGTTCATAAAATGTTACAATAATCTATGACAATAAATGTTGATAGAAAAACATACAAAAGGGAGACAGACAGACTATATTAGTTCAAACAAAATGGTTTCACAATCTTTCAGTATAATTAAAAAAAATATATATGGCAGGACACCATTTTAAGTAGGCTGGTCTTCTCTTTAATAAGATATTTTCCAATCCATAGAGGCTTAATGGAGTAGTACCTAGCCTGTTCAGTCTTGCCATTTGCCTATCACAAATATATCAGTGGGTCATGTATTTGTTATGGCAGGCTTTTCTGGAGTTCATCCAGCATCACGTTGAAGGCCATGCCATGTGGAATTAGCACTCGAGGGGGGAGGGGAGAGAGAGAGAAAAAATAAGGAGGGGCTTCAGAGAAAAGTGTCATGTGTAAGCAACACTAGCTTCTTTATAATATGATTGTTCTACTTCTGTTGCTGTCCTTTCTCTTCTTCCTTCATTGGGGAGTGTCACTCTGCCTCAAGTGCAGTTAATCCAGGAAACAGGGAGAGACTGTGTAGGCGGCCATGGGACGGGGGAAAACAAGGAAAGTAACAGAGCAGTAAAAGTAAAGACTCAGTCCTGAGACAAACTGATATTGCTTAAAGATAGTTATTCATGGAAAAAAGGGGGCTTCCTTTTCTACCTTGGCAGGGAAGAGCAGCAACTTCATCAATTTTCAGCCCTTACCCCTGTTTGTTTCTGGCCTCCTCTTTCACAATTAATAGATTCTCGTTTCCTACTTGATTCCCAACTCTTAGTTTAGTTTCATACTCTCTCTCCACAGAAATATTTTTCTCTCTTGCCACCTTTTCCACTATTTCACATTCTGACCCTTTAATTTTCTACTCCATGTCCCCTTCACCCAAACATTTGATGATCTTCTCTTTATCTACTCCCACACCCTACCATTTACCAGGCTTTCCCTTAACAATTCCGATAGGCTGCCCTTCCAAGTTTTGGCTGCCCTTACCCAAACAGCAGGGAAAACATGGAAGGGAAGCCAAAACTTTGAAGGGCAGCCTATCCGATTGGGTTTTCCTCAGAGATTTGAGGAGGGTCAGAAAACTTGTGTAGTTTGCAGACCAATGATGCCAAACATTATAATAATCCACCTAGAAATCAACCAGATGTTGACACCAAAGCTGAGTATGACCATTGGTTGGGAGCAACTGACTTGGGATGCCTTTTTATGGATAAAAATATTATTACAGACACTAATTTGAAAAATGTACCAGCAATCAAGTGTGTGCTATGGGATGGAAGAGAAGTTTGCTCATCTGCATGGCAACTTTATTTATTTGTATTCTTATGTTAATTAGGTACTCCTATCAATAAACCTCCTGTTCTGGGCTACAAGGATCTTAACCTCTTCAAACTTTTTAGACTTGTGTATCAACAGGGTGGGTGTGATAATGTAAGTGTCAAATTTTTCTTAAGCAAAACATCTATTCGTATTCTTGAAAATTATGGTTACAGTTCTAGTGTCACAGTAAATTTCGTTCTTAATTTTCCTGGTTAACGAATAAAACTTACTTTTCCAGATTGACAGCGGTGCTGTATGGAAGCAAATTTATATGGACCTTGGCATTCCTATTTTGAACTCAGCTGCTTCCTACAATGTAAAAACTGCTTATAGAAAGTAAGTTATATCTTATTAGGTGATTGAATGAATGGTTTTATAAATATGAAAAATCTTAAAAGTGGCATGAACACTTTATTTTGATGGCTCAGGAGTTGATATTAATAGACAAGTAAGTATTCCACATTCTCTTGTTATGTTGCTACATTAATTTTGCCAGATTTTAAGAAGTTATTGAAAACAAGGGCTGGAGTTCTGCAGTGAGAGTGGTGCTTGGCATCCTCCACTTCCATTAACTACAAAGGGGAGTAGAAGACTGCTGGGCACCATGTAGGATCTTGCAGTTGCAGTTTCTTAGAACAGTGCTTGTTTTAGGGCAGGAAATCTCCATTGTTGGCTTGTGGGATTACTGTTTTGGAATATAGCAATGAAACTGCTATACAATCAGTTTGCAACTTATGCTTAACACCATGGACAGACTCTGTCCTCAGATGCGCACACATTCTACTTCCATTGAGATTTGTGATAGCTGCATGCTATGGGCAGAACTTTGTATTTATTTGCTCCAGACTTTTAAACTTTCTGTACAATGTAGCTAGAAATAAGTGTGTTGCAGAAGGTATCAGAGGGGTAGCCGTGTTAGTCTGGATCTGTAAAAGCGGCAAAGAGTCCTGTAGCACCTTATAGACTAACAGACGTATTGGAGCATAAGCTTTTGTGGGTGAATACCCACTTCTTCAGATGCCTGTGTGTTGCAGAAGTAATCTTTCGAACATCAGTGCAGAGATTTTGTTTATATCTTTATCATCTACAGATCTATGGTTTTCAGACACACTTTGTTAGCTATAAGAGTAGGAGAAGTGGTGGTGACCACTTGAGTTAAGGCTGTATAAGCCTTTTCATTCTAACTCCTGATGTTCAGTTGTATTTTCATTTATGATTCTTACATCTTCTGGACTAAATATGTTTCAGGCTCACTTTCTAAGTAAAGTGGACTTTTTTTTCCTTTTTTTTCTCCTGAAAGATTGAGCAAATATAATTCAGCATTTTGAGCTCTGCATGTGGGAAGCAGGGGGAATGTTTTGCCCAGTGCTGAAGAACTTAATTTTTTTTGTTTAAGAAAACAATCAGAACAATTGAGCACTGAGTTTGTGTGGTTGGCACCAGTATCAGGAATTGCTTAAGTTACACATGCAACATTAACTCTCACTGTTGTGCATTGCCAGTACAAAAATCTTTAATGACATGGTTGCATTTTGTTTCTCAAATACAGTATGTCATATGTTTTCTAAGCCTTAGATTAATGTGTATTATCTCTTTTACAGTTGTTTATGCCGGACCGCTCATTAAAATAATACATTTGAAAAGTACACAGCAAACTATTGCTGATTAAATAAGAAGAAAATTGAAAATTTGCAGGCATATACAAGGCCACCTGAATGTTGCAGCTAAACTAGCTTAGTGGTTAACTACCTCATTCTCTGACTTGAACCTAATGAAAGTTGGTGCTTGTTGAATAGCAGGTGACTAAGGATCTCATCCTACTTGTTAAAGTAAATGAAAATGAAAATATTCAGATTTTCTTCAATGGGAGCTGAGCTGGGTACTAATTTAAGATGCATATTTTACAGAGAAAAGTATTTAGCATGCAAAGATTAGTAAAGCTGTGATAGACCATTATGACATCGAAAACGCTCTAACAATATAAGAATGGAAAAAAATATTGCAAGCTGATTCTAAGATTGTAGAAGCAATTGTGTGTTTGAGAAACTGTATAGCATGATATGCTCTTGACTGTCATGAATGCTTAAGCAAATGGGACAGAATTAAAGCTGTGCACAGGCAATGTTAAACGTAGTCATTCAGATATGACTGCTTAATCATGCTACCTCAAAATCTCTTAACATAGGGTTGAGGTTTTTAATGTTTTTGGTTTGGGGTTTTGGGGATTGGTTGGTTGTTCCCCCGCCCCAGGAGTTAGTGATCTTCTCTTGCACTTCTGCGAGCAAGAAAATAAAGAATTTTTTTGAAGTTCAGTGAAATGAAAATCAGCAGATATGCAACGGTAAAAATGTAATGAAACTCTGTTTGCATATATAGGTATCTTTATGGTTTTGAAGAATACTGCCGCTCTGCAAACATTCAGTTTAGGACCATCCATCATAATGAACCAAAAGTGGTAGAAGACATTCAGAAACAAGAAGAACCAATGGAGGAAAGTGTAAAAGAGGAGCAAGAAATGCTTCCAGCAGAAGTAAAAAATGAAGTAGAAGAAAATGATTCCAGCAGCGAAAGTGAAAAAGAGGAAATAGAATTAAGATCCCCGAGAGTAAGTAGTCTGATTTGAGGGTTTTTTTATTTATGTGCTCAATAGAACTGGGTGTCCTTAATAGTTTACTGATATGAGATTTCCCTAGAGGATTGGCTGTACATGGGAATTGCCATACTTGTACAAAACACAGGAGCCCGCATGCTGAACAACACAGGCTTCCATTCACATATCAAGACAATGCTCCACTGATTACAGTGGCTTCCCATTGAATATAGTCCATTTTAAGTTCTCTCTCGATGGTCAAAACCCTCCAGGAGATTGACCAAGCTACCTGAGATCATCTTTAGTCAAAGGAAATGCAATAGATCTAACCTACCTAGGTTTCAGTAATGCATTTGATTCAGGTCCACATGGGAAATTATTAGTTAAATTGGAGAAGATGGGGATCAAGAACTGGTTAAAGGGTAGACTGCAATGGGTCCTACTGAAAGGTGAACTGTCAGGCTGGAAGGAGGTTACTAGTGGAGTTCCTCAGGGCTTAGTTTTGGGACCAAACTTATTTAACATTTTTATTACTGACCGTGGCACAAAAAGTGGGAATATGCTAATAAAATTTGCAGATGATACAAAGTTGGGAGGTATTGCCAATACTCAGAAGGACCGGAATATCATACAAGATGATCTGGATGACCTGGAAAACTGGAGTAATAGAAATGGGATGAAATTTAATAGTGCAAGGTCATGCACATGGGGACTAACAACAAGAACTTTTGCTACAAGCTGAGTACGTATCAGTTGGACGTGACGGAGGAGAAAGACCTGGGTATATTGGCTGATCACAGGATGACGATGAGCCACCAGTGTCGGGATACGGCCATGAAAAGGCTAATGCAGTCCTAGGATGCATCAGGCAAGGTATTTCCAGGAGAGAAAAGGAAGTGTTAGTTACCATTATACAAGGCACAGGTGAAACCTCATATGGAATACTGTGTGCAGTTTTGGTCTCCCATGTTTAAGAAAGATGAATTCAAACTGGAACAGGTACAGAGAAGGGCTCCTAGGATATTTGAAGGAATGGAAAACCTACCTTATGAGAGGAGCCTCAAAGAGTTTGGCTTCTTTAGCCTAACCAAAAGAAGGGGAAACATGATTGCTCTCTTTAAAAAACATCAGAAGGATAAATGCCAGGGAGAGAGGGAAGTTATTTCAGTTAAGTGCCAATGTGGACATAAGAACAAATGGATATAAACTGGCCATCAACAAGTTTAGGCTTGGAATTAGATGAAGGTTTCTAACCAGCAGAGGAGTGAAGTTCTGGAGCAGCCTTTCAAATGGAGTAGTGGGTCAAAAAAACTAACTGACTTCAAGACTGAGCTTGATAAGTTTATGGAGGGGATGGTATGATGAGACAGCCTACAATAGCATGTAGCTGATCTGTGACTGCTAACAGCAAATATCTCCTCCAATGGCTGGTGATGGGTCACTAGCTGGGGAGGGCTCTGAGTTACTACAGATAATTTTTTCCCAAGTGTCTGGCTGGTGGGTCTTGCCCTCATGCTTAGGGTCTAACTGATCGCTATATTTGGGGTCGGGAAGGAATTTTCCCCTGGGTCAGATTGGCTGAGACCCTGGGGGGTTTTCACCTTCCTTTGCAGTGTGGGGCACGGGTCACTCGCAAGTTTAAATTAGTTTAAATGGTGGATTCTCTGTAACTTGAAGTCTTTACATCATGATTTGAGGATTTCAGTAACTCAGCCAAAGGTTAAGGGTCTATTACAGGAGTGGGTGGGTGAGATTCTGTTCCCTGCAATGTACACGAGGTCAGACTAGATGATTGTGATGGTCCCTTCTGACTCAGTCTTTGTTTCCCTGCACAACCATGACTTTCATCAATAGCTGTGTTCCACCAGAACCGTAAAACTCTCACCAAATGGGGTAGATTTGTGAACACAGAGGATAATCTTCACAGGAGCTGGATCTAGATTATGGAACTTCCTCCTTCAAGAGATAAGAATGAGCAGACAACTCACAGTTTTAAGTACCAAATGTAAACCCCATTTCTTTGACCTAGTGTTCTTGTGATAACTCTCTTTAAAAAATAAATAAAAATCTTCAGCCTTTCAACTCATTCACATATACAGAGAGGGGAATGGTGGAATAGTGAGATTTTAGTTTGATGTCTTTATTTTTATTTTTTTATTTTGAGTATTGCTTGGCTGCTGTGGTGATGAGGACCATATCAGCAGGTACATAGATATATCAGTGACCCATCTAATTCAATGTTCAATCAAAAGTAGATGATGTGCTCTTGTTCAATGATAACAGTCAGCTGCATGTGTGTTCCCTCTGTGTGCTGCCCCAGTTCTGCGCAGATAGCTAACACAGCAGACCCCGAGAGAACCCCCAAAAACCACAGACTCTAGTAAGGTACGAAGGAACCCGAGCCAGGTTTATTGTCAAATGAAGCACAGTAATAGTTCCCTATAGACTCTACAAGGCATACTACGAATTTGTGCTCCCTGGCAATGGACACAGCTCAGTCAGTGGCGGGACACTCCACTGCCCCCTGGGCTGGACAAATATGTGAGCTCCAGGACCTGCTTTTATACTGTTGCAGGACAGATTACTCATCATAGTTCAAACGAATCTATCCATCATGTTGTCCTTTTGACCCTGTCTTTAAGATGCACTTGCCTGTTCCTTGTTATCTCTGTGGAGTGTTCTGATGCCGTCTTGGTGCAAGTTCCTCTCATTAGCACATATGTGTGTGTGCACTTGCTTCTAACAACCTTTTCTTGCCAACTTCTGTGACTGGGACCTGCCTCTGGCTCACAGCCCAGCTTTGCTTAACACTGCCTGGAAGTACTTTGGTTCAGGCTTCAGGCCTCAGACTGGGCCTCTGATACAAGAGTTTGTTTCAGGGCCTCCTCTTACTACAGTCGAATATAAGAATATACTTAAAAGAATTTTTCTTTCATTGGAACAAGAAATTAACTGGCTCAATTCTCTAGATTAACTGGCTAGAACTCTGGCTAGTTCTGTTAAGGAAGTGACTATGTGTTCATTGATTAAAACTAGCACACTGAAAGGCGAAAAAAGTTACTTCTGGCAATTACCAAAGAAGAAAGAATGTTTCCAGTTAAAATAGTTAATAATGCATATTTAGTATCACTTATCCTTGTGATGTAAGATAGCTTCCATATAACATCAGAAGTTTGTTTCCTATTCAAGTTTTTTGTTGACTAGATCCTATCAAGGTATTAAATGATTGGTAGAAAGACTCTTAGTAAATGAAAATAAAAATACTGTGAGCATATGCTTACTGGAAATGCTGCTTAAAATGCTCTAACTGTATTGAATCAATAATTTAAAAGATGTGGCTTCTACAATAATATAAATATACAATATTTAGCTTTAGACAAGCACTGAAAATATAAGAAGATAATACAGACCAATCACCTATGATTTTCTCTAACTTGATCACCTTCCAGCATGCTGCAAAAGCTATTTTTATTTGACAGGGTTTTTGGGGAAGGTTGTGCGCCAGGAGAGAAGAGGGAGAGGAAGGGTTTTTTTTATGCTGCTTTGACTTCTTGGATGGCAAAGTTAAACTGTTAACTCAGCCAACCAGCAGCATTAAATAATATGTAGGTAATGTTATCTGTATGTGACTATGTAATGCTTCCAGGTGGTTGCCATTATGTTGCTATAAGTTTAATTATTAGGGCACCTAATGGGTTTTGATTGTTGTTTGATAATAAATACATTATAACAGAAGGATTTATATTTGGAGTACAAAAATGTGATGCTACCAGAAAGAGCACCTACGTCGCTTAATAATAAAACAATAAGCCCATAACAGTTAAGGCCCCCTTCCCCAAAACTCACCAGCTATCCCCACTGCTTTTCTTTGCCCCTTTGGAAATTCCAGCGGTCTTGCAGCATGCTCTGAAGGCTAACAAATCTAGAGAGACAAGGTCGGTGAGGTAATATCTGTTATTGGACCAACTTATGTTGATGAGTGAGACAAGCATTCAAAATTTACATAAAGCTCTTCATCAGGCCCAGACCTGAAGTAGAGCTCTGTGTAAGCTCGAAAGCTTGTGTCTCTCACCATTAGAAGTTGGTCCAGTAACAGATATTACATCACCCACTTTGTCCCTCTAATATCCTGGAACCAACACGGCTACAACAACACTGCATACAAATCTGGATCCTGTCAGACCAAGGAGTGCAATTTCCAGAGTTGAGGATCCCTCATGGAAAATGCCTTGTGAGCACCTCTGTCTCTTTTAAACCATGGGACTATCAACTCAGGTAGTTCCACTTACCACAACTGCCATAGTTAGCTAGGGAGGGTGATATTTCATGTGTTCAGGGACTACAGGCCTTTTCGATCTAAACAAATTCCTTTAAAATGCACCTGGAAGCTAATGAAAAGCTAGAACTCTGATATTGGAATCCCATAATTGTAAACAGAATGGTGATTCTGTTGATACCAAACAATGTTTTAAATTTATAAATATGTGATAACTCTCAAATGCAAAACTTCACATTGGCCTCCAATCTGTCTTCTGTACAAGAAAAATAAATATACTTCAGTGCACAGCATGCACTGCATAACCTCCCCTGCCCTGGACATGACTATGCTTGATTAACAGATTGCATTTCTGTCTTAGGGACGGAGGAGACTTGCTCGCGATGCAATAACTACTAAAAAAGAAACTGAAGAGGATAAAATGCAGGACAAATTAAAAGATAGCAACAAAGAAAATAAAGATGTAGAGGAAACACTTGAGAATGCAGAGAAGAAAGAAAATGAGACACCACTCGGGAGAAAGAACACACCAAAGCAAAAAGAGAAGAAAATGAAAAAACAAGAGGAATCTGATAAAGAATCTGATGAAGAGGAAGAGAGAAGGCAAGAGAGGTACATATTAACTTACATCCGCTCTTTAAGAGAATGGCTGTGTGGTGGTACAGTGGCACTCTGTATAAGCTGAGTACAAGGGAGGTTTAGGATTCCATTCCAGGAGATCAAATGTGAATCAGGTCCATGATTTTCACACACACGCGCTCCCCATTACAATTTTCCCCTCCTTGTCCATCTCCAAAATAGCAGAGACCTGCTGTACCGGAGGGAGGATTCGTTCCTGGGAGATGGCAGGTAGTATTTCTACTGTTATCTTCCTCCAAGGGTTCGGTCAGGGAGGGCAGCATTCTAGTTTTGGGGGCCATACAGGAGTTTCTCTTGAGGATGCTTCCCAGGAGAAGTATTGAATCAGAGCATCCCTGGATGCTCTAGCTCTGTTCTCATCCCAGCCCCACTTCTGGGATGCTTTAGCCAAGAGTGTCGCCACCCTCCTCAGTTGCACACAATATTCACTGCTGTACTACTTCTCTGGATGGACTTCTGTCACTGCGGGCTTGGATTATATTGGTATTTGTGCACAGTACTACACGCAAGCACCAGCTAGGATTGGCTAGGTGTTGTGTTAAGTGTTGTACAACCATGTAGTGATAAATGGTTTTCCACACTCTGTCTTGTCTATTTATATTGTATGATTTGGTGTAGAAAGTGGATGTAACATATAAGCAAAGTGGCTAATGATGGTTGGCAGATGTCCAGCTTGTGCGTGTTTCTGTTTTTATTTAAATGTATTTTAGAGGGCTGGAGGGGATGAATTAATAAGAGCATAGGAGAAAGGAAGGGAAAGGGGGGTTAAAAATGAAAAGGGGAGATGGATTGAAGAGGCAGGGAAGGAGAGAGAGCAACATGGAGGGCAAGGAGAGAGTGGCAGGCAACAGAACAATGTGGAAGAATGAGGAGATGTTGGAGTAAAGAGCCAACTAGTAAAAATAGCATCCACAGTACAAACTGAGAGGCAGAATTGGTTTAAATCACTGCTGTCCAGGGGTTGTGAAAACAGGCTAAGCCTCTCTCTTCCCACCCTGCTAGTTTTGACTACCCCCTCACTCCATTCAGGGATTGGTTTTGCTCATTGTGACATAATTCACTTGTGCACTTGGGGCATAAGCTGAGAGTGAATCAAGCCTGATGACTTTTTGTTTCAAACAACTGGAGAATGTGTTGACTGCATCATCTCCATATCATTTCCATATGAGGAGAGATTAATAAGACTGGGACTTTTCAGCTTGGAAAAGAGATGACTATGGGTGGATATGATAGAGGTCTATAAAATCATGACTGGAGTGGAGAAAATAAATAAGGATGTTTTATTTACTCGTCTTAACACAAGAACTAAGGGTCACCCAATGATATTAATAGGCAGCAGGTTTAAAACAAACAAACAAGAAGTATTTCTTCACACAACGCACAATCAACCTGTTGTACTCTTTGCCAGAGGATGTTGTGAAGGCCTAGACTATATAACAGAGTTTAAAAAAGAACTAGATAAATTCCTGGAGGATAGGTCAATAGTTATTAACCCAGGATTGGCAGGGATGGTGTCAATAGCTTCTGTTTGCTAAAAGCTGGGAATGAGTGACAGGGAATGGGACCACTGTTCTCTTTATTCCCTCTGAAGCACCTGGCATTGGCCACTGTCGGAAGACAGGATACTGGGCTAGATGGACCTTTGATCTGACCTAGTCTGGCCATTCTGATGTTCTCATTTTGATGCACTCCTGGAAAAAACAGTGACTTCAAAGAAGGCTGCGCTTTCAGTCAAAAGAAAGATCTTGTAGAATAACACAGCAAGCAAAAATTCCATTCAAACATAGATACAGCGTGGGTGTACAGTAGGTTGCATAGGTGTATTACATATATCTACGGTCTCTTAGTCTTCTTTCTTGTAAGTACTAAATGCCTTGGCCATCATCTTTCCTTCTAGTGTAAACTGTTATTGCTGCAAGATAGGTTATAGTCAGAGATGAACTAACATTTATCTTTTGTACAAAGCAAAGTGTGCATTTTCTGTCTATTTTGTCTACTTTTAGTTCTAGGTTTTGCTTCTGTTCCAAATAATTTGTTTAAAAGGCCATGTAAATATGTAGATCAGATGAGACACTGGTTATTGAAAAGACATTTTTCAGGCACCTAGTCCTTATTATTATGGATCTTTCCTTAAGTTAAATGGTAGATATAATTTAAAAAAGAGGCTGTTAAGAATTTTTATCATGGTTAAAGGCATTTATTGTAACTTTGTGTTTACCACTATTTGCTTCAGTGGAACTGATTAGATAGCCACAAAAGAGCCATTACATTGATAGTGCAAACATTTCATATAACTTGAAAGCAAATTGTGAAAGGTGGAAAAATTTAAAATAGCACATCAGAAGCAAATATTAAGAATTAAAGTTAGTGTCTCCTTGCTCAGCACCTCCTGTTTCACTTGAGCCTCAAAGCAGTGAGTTAATGTAATATATTTTGTCCATCTTCTTTCTGTGATCTCCATATGTTTCAGATGATAAACATTAAAGCTTTCAGATAGTTTTGCACATAATAAATCATGTTAAAATGTGATTTGTGAATAAACCTGATGCATCATTTTTAACACTTCTAGCTTATGCAAAACAGAGTGGAGGTGTATGACTTGAATAAGCTATGACCAATCCCTTTTTTTATACATTGCACTTCATGAATCAAGGAACTCCCGAGTACAAACTTTTCTCTTCTCCTTCTGCTGATTAGAAAGGGAATATTTAACTAAGCTTTGGAAATTTTAGGTCTGATTTTAATTAAATAATCAGTGGGCATTATAAATATACCTTGCTACAGGGAGGAAATTGAAAACAAAGGAGAATCAGAAGGGGAGGAAGATGAGGAGGACACAGAGCCCTGTCTAACGGGAACCAAAGTGAAAGTAAAATATGGACGTGGAAAAACTCAGAAAATTTATGAAGCCAGTATTAAAAGCACAGAAATTGATGATGGAGAGGTTTTATATTTAGTACATTACTATGGCTGGAATGTAAGGTAAGAAGGAGAAATTACCATTTTAACTTCATTTTAGTTTACTAAAAAAAAGTAAGGTTTCAGAGTAGCAGCCGTGTTAGTCTGTATTCGCAAAAAGAAAAGGAGTACTTGTGGCACCTTAGAGATAACAAATTTGTCTCTAAGGTGCCACAAGTACTCCTTTTCTTTTTTAAAAAAAATGTAGCATTCATAGATTTTTAAGAGAAAATGTCATCAAAGGGGGAAGAGTAATGGGTCTCTTGGCCCTGCAGTGAATTAGTATTGCACAATAGGGTCAGATCCTGCTAAAACTTTTTTTTCATGTGAGTACCTTCACTCACATATGAGTAATCCTATTGAAGCCAATGGAATTATGCATGTGTGTAAGTGTTTGTTTGCAGAATTTTGGTCCATCTCATCATAAAACTGTGAGTAGTACTGTTATATTAAATTGGAGTTCTTGTGGGAATAAATCCGAAGCCTGGTAATAATTGTCAGCAGGATCAGACCTTTGGCGAATATAGCGTTAATCTCTAAGGTGCCACAAGTACTCCTTTTCTTTTTGAGCTGTGATAGTGACATTTAAATTACTAAGGCCTTTTAAGAAAGTAGAGTTGTGCTTCCAGATGTCACCGTGAGTATTAGAAATTGTATTGCATTTAGTATTAGGGTAGCTTATACAGTTATTGGTTTATTAAACTCTGAAATTTCAGCAACAAAAAATATGCTGGCAGTTGAACACTCGCTATAATTAAAGAAGATATATGTTTTAAAAAATTCACGGTGGGAGCAGGGTGGGGAAGCTGAACTGTAAGGAAGTGTAGAAAAAATCCACTGAACACTTACGTTGTATTCCAAAAGAGTGCATTCCTTATATTTAATACCTGCTGTGTAATGGCATTTCTTTATTTTTATAAACAATGCGACTGTGCTAATGCCACAAAACTCAAATATATTTTAAAATGTATTTTCCTTGTACATTAAAATTTGAGACTTGCCATCTCATTGAATTCCTGAGAAATCTAAACAGACTTCCTTGAATGACATTATGACATCACGTAGGTTTGAAAGAAACCTTTTTTCCAAACTTCTATTCACATCCCCTCATCTATATTATTAATAATAATAATAATTAATAATAATGCAGGAGAATTTCAAAGGCACAAATGGCAGATAAGCACCTAACTCCATTTATGCCTTTGACAGTCTTTCCTAATGCTTAGTGTCTTTTGCCAGACTATTTGAAAACTCTTTAAAAACACAGGTAAGTATGATTATTTTATAACAGTGTTATAGATGGGGAAACTGAGGCGTGGAGAGATTAAAACTGAATTTCCTAAGGTCACATGAAGTTGATGGAAGAGTCTGTAATTGACCCCAGGTCACCTGACTTCCAGTGCTTTGCTGGCAGGAGACCAGGAAGGTCTGCACCTTCAGATTTCCTCAGGATCTTAGGAAGGTAATTGCAATAGAACATAGCGCTAAATACGTTTTAAAACATCAGATACTTGATATGTTGCTAAAAGGGGGTTGGGGATCTATTTTGAATTGTTATTAATGTCTTTGCAATTCAGCTTTGAACCATCAAATTACAATAAAACAGTTTTTAATGGGAGTAGTAACAGTGTGCTATGTTTTGCCTTTAGATACGATGAATGGGTGAAAGCTGATCGGATTATCTGGCCTTTGGACAAAGGAGGACCAAAGAGAAAACAAAAGAAAAAAGCAAAAGTAATATTTGTAGATCAGTAAATTTCTTGTAATAGTTTGTAAGAGCTTAATGACTCTCTCTGCTCCTAAGAATGAGTTTATTTTGCTGTTCACTCCCTAGCCCCTCCCCTTAATGTGTAGCCCAAACAGGGTGAAGTTTTGACTATAAGCAGTGATGTACATTCATAGAATGCCCAATTTTGTGTCTTCAGAGTAAAGAAGACCAGGAAAAGGATGAAAAGAAGGATGAGGAGAAACAGAAATCAAAACGTGGCCGCCCCCCTCTGAAATCTACTCTTCTGTCAAACATGTCTTGCAGTTTATCCAAAACACCTAATAGTGAAGGTAAAGCAGGAGCCAGAAGTACACGGAGCAATATGTCAGATTGCTCATCATTACCAAATGGAACAGAAGGTACACCTGATGCAGTCATGTGAGACACTTAGGTGCTCATACATAGGAGAAATGTATGTAAATACTAATAATGTAACCCCACACGTTAGTATGAAACGTTTAATAAACATATTGCTGTATTGTAAGTCAACAGTTTTGAAGTCCTGTGCAGTCAGTCAGTTTACTAGCTATATAACAAATTTTATTCTATATAAATTAATTAGTTTTGATTTTGATTTTTAGGAACACCTCGCAGGCAGACGAGACGTAGCTCAGGAATGTTTGATTCTGATAGAGGATCAAACGGTGAGTGATCGCTGTCCTGTGTTTTGATTTTCATTCCTTTTTGAAAAAGCAATTTTAACCCCCCTTTTTTCCTGCGAATTTTAATGCTGTTGAAAGAACTAAATTGACACCACTGGAGGAAAAAAATTCTCTATTTCCTCCCCAAGCAGTTAGGGAAAGGGCATCTTACCCCATGTTCTTGCATCAGTCTGCTTCAATCCTAATCCAGAGATAAAATTGTGGCCATTACTATGGTTACTCAATCTTCCAGTCTCACAGCTCATGCATCCGGCAGGGAGGCTAGTTAAGTACAAATGGTGGCAGTGTTGTTTGATGATAAGAACCCTTGTCTAGTATGAACTGAATCAAAGCCACCAACTCATTTCATATAGGTCCTGCACAACTATCAGGCATCATCTTATTACTTGCAATCTATATGGCTTCTGATTGAAACCACTGATTTAGCAATGAAATGGGTATAACCCTGTTAACAGTCTTCTGAGCCATCCATTCCTTTTTGAGGTGAGGTGACTGGGAAGATTCAAGCTATAAGGAGACCTGTAAAACTATCCTGTCCTCCTGAACTCTGATTTATGTGTGGCTTTTTGATTTCTAAACCTCCCTCTCCCCCCGCTAAAAAAAGAGAGTTTACACCAGTGCTACCATACTTCCATAGAGATCTAAAGTGACACTCGGAAAAACTGTAGCAAAAATACGTTGAATAATGCAACACATTTGGATTTTTTTTTTTTGAGTTGATGCAAAACCAAAACTCTTGATTTCCCCCCCCCCCCCCCCCATAAAGTGATTTTTGACACTATATCTGTGTGGGTTATTGAATAGCATCTGCATAGCAAATATAAAAAATTGTGCTTTAACAATGACCTGATGTGTTGTTTTTTAATCTTATTTTTTGGCAGATTCTGGTTCATCTGACAGTGAAGCTGATGAGACTTCTGAAAAGAGTATGAATGAAGAATTTTCTGCAGAAATTTCAGATATGGAAAAAAATGAAAAACTAATTGATGAGAAACCCACTGAAGAAAACCCAAAGATCCCACATGTATTGATGAAAGAAAATGACAGGACTCAAGTGCAGCCTCTAGAAACTTTAAAACTGGAAGTTGAAGAAAGTGAACAAATAGTTCAGATTTTTGGAAACAAAGCTGAACAAGTGGAAGAAATTAAAAAAGAGACTGAAAAATCACCTAAGGGGAAGGGAAGAAGGAGCAAGACAAGAGACCCCTCTTTAGAGAATGTGAAGGTTTTGCCAGAAAGCCAAGAAGAGGGAACAAATGAAACCCTCATAGAATCTGAAAGATCAGACATTTCTTCCTCAGACAATAAAGAGTTTTCCACCACTACTGAAAATGAAACAGATCCCTGTACAAAAGATAAGAAGCTTTTGAAAAGGAAAACGTTGGAACAGACATCGCCTGAGAAAAAGGTACGACGAGAGTGTGAGATGGAAGTGCCAAATATTGTGTCTGAGGAGAGGACCAATGAATGTATTGGGATGGAGGAATGTAAAGACTTTCATGATGAAGAGTCACTCAGAACTGAAAATGAGGAAATGCCGTCTTTAGTAGCAGAGTCAGATCAACATGTTCAAGAGCTGACGAATGAAAACTTTGAATGTACATCTGAGGAAAATGAGCATATTCCGTTAAAAGACGAGGACGACACTATGCCTCAGATTGGACCTGAAACTCTACTTTGCCATGAAGTGGACTTGGATGACTTTGATGAAAAGGAAAAGAGCAGTAGTGAGGATGCAGTAGCAGAAAAGCCAGATCCCAACTCTTTGACCTCAAATCCATCTGCCTTAATCCCTGCAGTCCAGCCTAACTTCTCTGTGGCCTCGCCCCTTGGTCTAAGTCAGGATGAATCTCACAGTATAAAAAGTGAAAGCGATGTAACTATTGAAGTGGACAGTGTGGCAGAAGAATCTCAAGAAGGTCTCTGTGAAAGCGAGTCTGCTAATGGATTTGAAGCCAGTACCACTTCAAGCAATTGTAGTATAGCAGTACAAGACAGAGATACTGGAGAGAAGGGTAAGTGTTTCCCATGTGAAAAGCCAATCTCTATTTTGACAATTCCTGAAACCATTGTAAATCCTGTTTTGCTTTGCTAAGGACTATTGGCTCAAAAGTGGCATTTGGCGTCTTCTAATACTAGTTTTCAGTTCAATCTATTTGTTTTAAAAAGGGTATATTGAAAGCAGAAATATTTGAATCACGTTTTTTCTTTTCCTTCAGGTCAAAAAAGGCCAAGCGATGGCAATAGTGGGATACTGGCAAAGAAACAAAAACGTACTCCAAAGCGATCAAGTGCTGTAGCCAAAAATGAAAAGAATGGAACAGGTACATTTGGAAGTGAATTTTTGTGCTGTATCCATAACAAGTGTGTAGTAATCCATCCTTTTGATATTTATCCCCATTGTACATGTGTAGGGGTTTTCTTGCCAGGGTCTTTAATTAGTGTTGACTGGACCACTGACTATATATGTAGTAGAATATACCAGCTATTCAGTAATCACAATATCTGGCAGTCTCATGACTGTTACCGTCATCATTTTCATCTCTCTTTACAAGGCAGCTGTATGTGAGAAGATACCAAATATTTTACAGTTATGTGTTATGTGTTCAGCTCAGTTATCGTTTTTGTCCCTATGCTTGCTGAATAGAAGCACTTCCTTGAAAAATCATGTCCAAGCGCTTCTAAGGCTAGAAAGATACATTAATTATAACTTACAAGAAAAAATACATAGAGTGCAATGAGGTAAGTACGATACCTTTTAGAGACAGGACTTTTATGTGTGGTTGACGTGCTCAGATATGTAACCTTCTTAAATCAGCTGCAGAAAGTCTGGATTTAGTCTTCTATACCCCCTTATAAGTAGTGATGACCTCAGATAGCTAAAGGAATTGAATCAAATAGGTCAATAGAGTCAGTGCCAACAATGGCATTGTTAAGATTTATGTCAAATAAATATTTTGGGTTCCCACAGTAACTGCAACAAATATTGTTCATAGGCTGTTAAATAATGCCTAATATGTTCAGAGTGACAGGGTGAAGATTTCTGTGGGAACTGTAACTTAAAATTTCCTGAGACTTGTATATTTGAAATGAGAACCTTTTATTTTGGCACTATTGTAAGAAGTCTTGCATTGTTTTTGTTTTTACAAAATAAATCTAACTATACACTGAGGTACAGGATCACACTGCATGACCATGTGAATATGGTACTGTAGAACCTCAGTTACAAACATCTCAGGAATGGAGGTTGTTCATAACTCTGAAATGTTCGTAACTGAAAAAATGTTGTTGTTCTTTCAAAAGTTTCCAACTGAACATTGATACAGACTAACATGGCTGCTACTCTGAAACCTGTTAATAAGCTTTGAAATTTTACTATGCAGAAGAAAAACGCTGCTTTTAACCGTCTGAATTTAAATGAAACAAGCACAGAAACAGTTTCCTTACCTTGTCAAATCTTATTTTTTAAACATTCCCTTTATTGTTTTAGTAGTTTACATTTAACACAGTATTGTACTGTATTTGCTTTTTTTGTCTCTGCTGCTGCATGATTGTGTACTTCCAGTTCCAAATGACGTGTGGCTGACTGATCAGTTCGTAACTCTGGTGTTTGTAACTGAGGTTCTTCTGTATCAGAGATGTATACTCTTTACTGAAATGATGGTACATTGTTCACATCTATAGGTAATTAGTGCATTTGCACTCTGAAAAGTGACTCTAAGGTCTTGTCTACACTGAAATAACTAAATGTGTTTTTAAGTCACACCTGCTTTTTTGGCAGAAAACACATTTATTTTGGAATAAATGTCTATTTTTTTTTTGTTTTTGTTTTTTTTATTGTTTTTGTAGGTAAAAAATCTACTTTGGCAAGGGCTGACTCAGCCCCTAACTGCTCCCACCATGGGTTAGAGAGAGCACTGGTGCACCTGCAGATTCAGCTCATAGTGTACCTAACAAAATTAGAAAATTTTAAATGGGGTTGTCAATAATCTGAAACAATTTGGAATCCACAAAGGGAGCTGGGTCTTTTGAGTAAGGAAGCACAATTTTACCTTTCATTTTTCTGACCACAACCACAGTTTATGTAACGTAGATTATAGGGTTAGAAGAATACCAAAATTATAGGTATACTTGTCTTCTGTCAATTGTCTGTCTGTCTTCTAATCAAAATTAATTTGTGTTATTACAGGACAAAGCAGTGATAGTGAAGATCTTCCTGTCATGGACAGTTCAAGTAAATGTACTCCAGTAAAACACATAAATGTGTCCAAACCACAGAAGCTTTCGCGATCCCCTGCAAGAGTAATTTCCCCTCACATCAAAGATGGAGAAAAGGATAAACATAGAGAGAAACATCACCACAATGCTTCCCCGAGAGTGTATAAATGGAGTTTCCAACTCAGTAAGAATTTTTTAAATTGTGTTAAATATTTAAATCAGAGTTCAAAATTATATTAATACAATATCCAGAACTTGCTATATTCAGTTCCAAAAAGGCACCTGGCATGAATGCTCATTATCATTGTAAAGCCAGGTTTATTGGTATAATGTTATTTATTTCTGTGCTTCGCTTTCACGCTATAAAAGTCCTTTTAAAAATGGTATGATTTAAATTATCATCTTGCTTTCCCCCCCATTTAATTTCCAGCATGCGGTTAGCAGCTTATTACTTCAAGAATATCTAGACTGTGAAACTAATAAGTTATGTAATTTAAAAATAGTCTGGAATTCTAGTTTTCAGATGGCATAATCCAGGCATTCATCTCTAATTCTGGAATTGCTGGATTATTGGCTGCAAAAATTCAGGTTGGGATTGAAGAGTTGAGTTGGAAGAGCAAGATGACTCACAAAATTATTGTGTAGGGGGAGGACAGAGCAGTTCTTTTGTTTTGTTTTTTGTTTTTAAATTCCATGATATTGAAACCTAAAACTCTGGGAGTCTGAGACAAATATTTTAGAACCAATAATCTTTTCCCCCACAACCATTAGTGCAGGACTAATGATCAATCAAGGGAAAAAATTGTTGATCCATTTAAATTAAGTATAATATATAAGTATATCATAGCTGTCCCTTTTATAAGGAGCACAATTCTTACTAATCTACCATAATTAAAACACCTTGGATTAAATGGAATTTAATAAGAACCTTTGTATTTTGAAGGGGGGAAATGTGGGTTTTGGCTATCTGTCTTGTATGTAACCCTACTTAGTATAGCATTGTGGAAGTGCATTATTGGTTTGCATGTGATGTTTCAGTTATCGTTTCTTAAAATCACCATCGTAAAGTAACTTTTCCCTCCACTCTTAAGATGAACTAGACAACATGAACAGCACTGAGAGAATCTCCTTTCTACAAGAAAAACTACAGGAAATCCGAAAATATTACATGTCCCTGAAGTCAGAAGTAGCAACAATAGACAGAAGAAGAAAACGATTAAAAAAGAAAGACAGAGAAGGTAACTTTCCAATTTGCTTTACACTCAGACCTCCCTCTCATGAGATGTCTGTTTTAAATATGTAAACCCCAAAACGTTTAATTTAAGTGACAACATTTTCGACAGCCATTATTTTAACTTTTTGGAAAAAACAGTTACTATACGAAGTTTAACTTGTCTTCTATCCATACAGGATAAATTTAGAATCTACAGCATGGTTTGCTTTTCAAAATTCATACATATAATAAAATAAATTCTTGAATATGTAAAATTTCACTTTTAAAAAGACATGGATCTGGACTTCGTATTGTACCCTGGATCTGGGTTTTCACAAGTAGCATAACAGATTGTCTTGTTCCTTTATGATTTAAGCCACAGAAAGGATTATGTTAGTTATCCAGCTTGTGTGAACATAAGAGAAAAATAATCTGGACCAGTTTCATAAAGCTTTTTGTAGTAAAAGTAAATCTTATTTTTAATCCAGTAATATTTACTCATCTCCATGGTATCTGAGCACAGTATAGAAACATACAGAAACTAGAGTAGTTCTCTAAAATATTAAGGCTTTGAACCTACTAGTCGATACATGAGGAATCCACTTGTATTTTTCTATAACAGGACTTTGAGAGGTCTTCCTATACTGCTACTTCTCCTCCATGCCTATTTTAAATAAAATAAATAAATTAAATGAAGGTAATGCTCATTAAAATGAGCAACTAGTAAGGACACTATGTTAAGCCAGGGATAATGGGTGCAGGTACGACGTAAGCTTCTACACACAACTCTGTCGACGTACGTCAAACTTGACAGGCCTCACTTGGGCTCTATTAAGTTGTTTTGTGTGTGTACAGACACTAAGTCTGATACCTAAGCGGGCCTCCAGTGTGAAGGATAATTTGACAGTGTGGTGCTGATGTCCTGCTTTATGTATTTACAGTGTCTCATACAGGAGCATCCATGTCATCTGCTTCATCAGACACTGGGATGAGTCCATCATCGTCTTCTCCTCCCCAGAATGTGCTTGCTGTAGAATGCAGGTGATACATATTTCTCTGCCTTGTCAGCAGTTTGCTGCCATGGACATAAATCCTGAAATATAACCACAAAAAGCACTCAACTGGTTTGACATTGCCAAGTACATTCTGTACACTCTTCCACTGCTGGACTGTATCTTTTTCCTCCCCCCGGTTTTTTATTTTATTTTATTTTTACTGTTGAGAAATTAAGCTCATTGGTAACTGAAGGTTTGTAGGCACCGTCTGACATGTTTGTCATCGTGTTTATTGTTTTTTTGTTAATACAGAGAAAGGGCACTTATCAGATTTGAAAAGTTATGTCCAATGAAGCATTCAGGTGTTCTAGGAAATCATAGAAAAGCAAGTGCATCAAACAGACATCAGAATATTATCAAACAGAATCAAGTTACTGCTGCACTTTCACCCAGCTTGTATGCTAACCCTTGGTGAGTAGTTCCTCTTTGTGGAAGCACTTGCTATACAGAACTGCCAAAGTATGTGTTCAGCAATGTGCCCAGTTTTAAAGATGTAAATGGGACAAAATAAATTGTGAAAGGAAGTGTAGTTGACTGAAAACTACAGTTGTAATAAGTCTTCCACTTTTTATAGGATTTTTGAGCACACGATTATGCAAATATTTTAATGTTTATTAATGTTTACAGTGGAATTGTGAATAAGTTTTCAGTGGACTATCTTATCCCTTGACAAAAATATTTTGTCTTTTTTCTATGTAATTTCAGAGTTTTTATTTTGTTACAAAAAGACGAAAAATGAAATATATAACAACAATGAAGTTATTTAACAAGATTTCTAAAGCTGAATTTTTTTGTGTAAAATAAGGTATCTTGCAACTTGTTAAATATATTTATTCAGACATTGGATGTTGTATTTTTATGTATTTTTTAAAATATTAATAAAATTGGAAAAAAATTCTAGGTTAGTTCACTCTTTTGAAAAAACATACCTATCAGTTGTAGCTCTTACAGGAGGTTTTATCCAGTAACCGTGCCTGTATGTGCAGTGGGTCTGTCTATTCTTCCACAATGTAGAACTGTAATCGGGCATCTGGATTAAACTATAACCTTGTTTGGAAACTTTGGCAGTCCTAGTACTTACATTGTTTTGAGGAACAAATTTTATTGGGTTGCCCTTAAGATGCTTTGTCACAGTTTTTATGTTTGCTATACTGCCGAATGAATTTATATCTCCCAAAGTTGAGATGCAACAATAAAGTAAAGCAACTGTGTATACTTTGTCTGTGGATTGTCCCATGGGCTGATGCAGTTTGTAAATAACTCTTCCAAAACCATGTATTTAAAACAGTTTGCATATACATTATGTATAAAAGTGATTTTTTTATCAATTTTTTATTCATGTTTGTACATTGAAAGGGGTTTTAACCCCTCTTTCTGTGTTTAAAATGCTGTAGAGTAATAACATAGATGCTCTAGACTGTATATCAGGATATTATGGTTCACACAGCAGAAAGTCAGAGCGAAACACTAGTGATGGGGGTAGCATTACTACGATTGATGTTTCTTGAAACTTCATTTTACCACATTTGTCAACTTGTGATTCCAATTCCTTCCATTTTCGCAGAGAATTAAAGAAAAAGTACTCTTGTAAAATGCACTTTTCTGTCTTTTCTTAAACAAAGCAGAACTATTTCAATGTAAGATAAAATGGAGTTAATTAGAGAGCATTAATAAAGGCCATGTTTTAAACATAGGCTTTATTTTTTTATTTAAATGATTGCTCTTGTAAATCTACTGACATCCTAAACAATAGAAAAATCAGACTTTGTTAAGTGTTGTAAAAAAAATGTTCAGAGCTAACTTTCACTGTTAATTTTATATTAAATATAAATAATAAATAAAAATAATACTCATTTATTAAGGAAAATAACATGGGTCACATTTTCTCAAATTGACTTCCATGCTTAATATTTGCAGAAGTAAATCTTAAATATTGAGTGTAAATAATTCCATGTATTGCTCTTGGATAAATTTACATCTTGTGCAAATATTTAGCTTGTCTAAATACTACCACCATTTCTCTAGAACAGCTAGAAAGATTTTGATATAAATCACCATTTCAAATGTTGTGGATGAGTCTCTAACATTCTGTACTATAGCATAGTTGTTCAAAATGAACAACTTGACTGCTTCCACTTCGCCTTTGACTGGTTAATGTATGGTCGGGAAACTGTGAAAAGGTGCGTAAGGCAGCCATTCAGTGCTTGAATATTAATTAGGAATTTGGGTTTTGCAGACTAAAAAGCAGTTAAAAGAAAGAGGGCTTTTCTTCTTTTCCTTATACTGTTTACCACTGGTTCTGTCTCCTGCATGTATTGCTCTTCTAGTCTGCCTCCTAGGAGAGAGGTATATCATTTGGTTAGACTCCCCAAACACCTGTTTCGGTAGATGTTTAAAGTTTTCTATCTGGATTTTTTTTTTTTTGTCTTTAAGGCTACTAAATGTTCAATAGGGAACAATCTTGTAACAGCAGGGAGATGGACAAGATGACCTAGTAGGCCTTTCATTTCCAACTTTGAGTACAATTCCTTTCTCCTCCTTCGAAAACAATTCTTAAATATCTTTCATTGCCTTAAATAAATCTGGTGAAGAAGACACAGAGATTATGGCTGGTATTAAAATAACTATCTAAGCAGTTTTGATACAGCTAATAATGATGCTTTACTTCCTGGTTGTGCTAGCAGATTTTTTGGCAGGGTTATTCTTCCCTTCTCATCTCTCCCACTGTCATCCCAAAACTATATACTTCATTTGGAAGGTATATCAGGAGAGAAGATTTTGTCAAATTCTGCTTTTTTACATCAGTTGAAGCTCCATTTCAATTGATAGAATTGCATTACTCTTAACAGCAGAATTTGCACCCCTTATGTAGCTGAGCTACCAACAAGAGCCACTGAAGAACAAGTAGGCACATTAGAAAACTGCTGTTGTGATGTAAGATAGCTCTAGGAACTGAAGATTGATTTGGTGTAAATCTGAAAGATTGAAAATGTTATAGGAATGTGAATTTGAACCAATATTCAAAGCAGCAGGTTTGTTTCTCTCTTTAAATAGATGTCTCCTTTCTTCTTCTGACAGCTAGTTAATATTCTGTTTCACTAATGTAATCAAAAACACTTAAATTTCTCCAGACCTTTAAAGGGACTTACTGTAGAGAAAGACTCTGTGCTTCTGTTTTTGTTTCCACACAAATGTTGTAGGAGCTATTTCATGTTCTAGCATTAATGATTTTAAAAAATAGTTAAAAATGTAAGTTTATCAACATCCTGTTAAATCTTTTTCCTGTATTTCCCTTCCCACTACCAGTGTTTGTCCAAGATATCTGACAGTAGCTATCTCTTACCTAACCAATCTGAATAGAGCAGTGATGTCCAGAATAGTGACAAATGGCGATTTCACAAGCACTGAATTGTCAGTGCATAAAGTGAGGAGGTGGCCTAGACAAAAGAGAAAGTTACACCCACTTACTTAGTAATTAAAAATGAAAGGAAATTGTGTTAAGGGTAATTAAGAGCGCACATTTCAGCAAAATATATTATCTTTAATTTAAAGGGCCAATGTCTAGGGAAACTTTTTAAAGAACAACTGCAGAGCAGCAAAGCTGATGATGTCACTTCTTTACAATAGTGGCATTAGTACTTATGATATGTTCCATTTGAGGATCTTGAAGTGTTTTAGATAGATTGATGAATTAAGCCACCCAACAGGCAATATCTTTATTTGATACATGAGGAAAATTGAAGAGCAGAGTGGTTACCAGGGTGTTATATTATCAAAGATGACTTTGGCAGAACCAGAAAGAGACTGCTGGTACGGAGTCCTGTGTCTTTACCACAGAACTATCTGGCCTTCTACTCTGGTTTCTCTTACTCAGCATGATGTTTGTCTTTGGAATGCAAATTAAACTTCAGTTACATGATTCCGTCGAGTATAATATGTTCGTTCACCTTCTGTCCCTGTAAACAAGAATACTCTTTCTCTCTTGGGTTTATGTGGAGACTGACTGAATGACTTTTTTTGGGTGACATTTATTGGAATCTGCTGCCTACAGTGATGTCTTCAATTAATATTGAACAGAAATGCTTGCTTAGTGTAGTCTAGGCCCTTTACAGAAAATCCCACATAGTATGAACAAAAAGTCCTCTGAGATATGTGCAGTTTCCATCCTGCTATGGCCAAGGAGTTTATTCCCCCTCTTACAGCCTATGGAATGAGCAATGGAATTGTCATATCTGTCCAGATCTTAAAAGGTTCACGGACCAGTAGACCAGGGCCATTCATGCACTGAAAATGGTTTCTCTTTTCCCTTTTCCTAAGTTGCATGTGTTTTCAAGCAAACTGAATGTAGCATGTGCTACCAAAGCTTCCCTTTTTGGACAGCTTTTTCATGCTACGGAAACATAAGAGGGCAGGCCACCATGAACTAATTCACTGGATTCCTAGGTGGTTCATGGAGATGGGGAAGACACTTTGGTCCATTGAGCCAATTTGGTGAGATAACAATGGAATGCTAAACAGCTCCAGATAACACTGAATTTTACCACTTTGTTTCTGCCTTTTAAGTGTGTGAACAGGACATATCTAGCTATTTGTTGTACCATGTAACTGTTTTACAGATTCCATGCATTGAGAATTTGTTTGCTTAGCTCTTTTAAGCTTGCAATTTTTTAAAATTACCTGCAACAGTAGTCCCTTAAAATGCTAGATAAGGACTGTTTTTTAAAGATGTAGGGAGCATGCAACAATCAAACTTTCATGAAGCATATGAGGATGACCCAGCTGACCCACGAACATTCAAGGATTTCCATTCTTCAAATACAGGTATTTTAAAATTAGCTCACATTCCCCAGTATTTATCAAGCCATTGTGCTCATACTGAGAAATAATATATTTACTTTATTGGTGAAATTTTACAAATACCATTATGTTTTCTTCTTCACCATTGATGTCTGAGGATGTATCTTAAAAGGATATGTATTAAATTTCCTAACAGTTCTCTATGAGGAGTACTAAATTTAAACATTCATATGGTCACTTCTGAATATTGATGTATTGATACGTATGTTAATTTTTGAAAATTTAGCAACACCCACACTTCCATGAGCCCTTACTTACTAGTCTCAATGTCTCCTTTAATTTAATTTTCCCAGGTTTCCTTGCTTCATACCCTTGGCCTGAAAATATCTGGCTTTTTATTTTTAACTTTGACACTGGTGTGCTGGTACAATGGAAGATGTATATCGAATGTTGTGTTTTTCTTTGAGTATATGTCCCTGTGCGTGCTCAACCGTGGGATGTGTGTGCACCTGTGTGCTCTTGATTGAAGACTGTGAAGTAGCGCTTATGGGCCCGCACCTGTGCAAAACAACACTTCATGCTCTGAATGAGGGGATAGAGGTTATTTGTTTCTTAGCTATTGACTTTGTTCATTGTATTTTGTTTGTGCTCTCTGGAGTGGGGGTTTCGTCCTTCTTCTGGAGCTCTGTGCCAGAGCACAATTTGTTATGCCTGAGACCCCAGGGTTTAAGAACTTGGTCTAGACCCTCTCCACTACACAAGGAATCTAAGAGACTGGAATTACTGGGCAGATTGAGTTATTTGTCAGCTGCTCTTCAGTTGTGTATAGTTAACTATCAGGCCTTGATGATGAAATACAGCTTTACCACATATTCAAAATGTACGCACTTTTATTGAACATCTACCACAAAATCAGACGAGAGACCAGTCTCAGTCCATCATGGAGGGGCAGGCAATCCTCGACCTCAGGAACTTAAAACTACTATGTTCTAGCATAACACTTCAGAATGTTTGGATTGGATTGAACTGATTGGATATTAGGAAAAACTTTTTCACTAAGAGGGTGGTGAAACACTGGAATGCGTTACCTAGGGAGGTGGTAGAATCTCCTTCCTTAGAGGTTTTTAAGGTCAGGCTTGACAAAGCCCTGGCTGGGATGATTTAACTGGGAATTGGTCCTGCTTTGAGCAGGGGGTTGGACTAGATGACCTTCTGGGGTCCCTTCCAACCCTTATATTCTATGATTCTAATGGTGATATTAGCTACCTTTCTCTCATCCTCGGATCCAGAATACTGGTTTGTTGCCCTCTACCTATAAGCTACTACTTTCATGTAGCCATCCACCCATTGCACAAGTGCTTCCTGTGCTTTGTAATAGGAACAAACCCCTAGTGATGGAGAGTTCTTTCCTTTGGGCTCTCTACGGCTCTGAGAGTGTTTTACAAAGCTACTTTCATCAGTAGGGTGGAGGTGTCTCGGTATTCCCATATTTGGATGACTGGTTGATCAGGGATTTATCAGAACAAGAGGTTCAGTCAGCTACAACCAAGGCGTTAGCATTGTTCCAAACACTAGGACTTTGTATCAATCACAACAAATCTATACTAACTCCAGTACAAAGGACAAACTTCATAGGAACCATTTTGGACTTCACATCAGCAAGAGCCTACCTACCCTTGAGCAATGGTCTCAAGTTGCAGTGGGGGAAGTCTAGGTTGGATATTAGGAAAAACTATTTCAGTAGGAGGGTGGCGAAGCACTGGAATGGGTTACCTAGGGAGGTGGTGGAATCTCCATCCTTAAAGGTTTTTAAGGCCTGGCTTGACAAAGCCCTGGCTGGGATGAGTTAGTTGGTGTTGGTCCTGCTTTGAGCAGGGGGTTGGACTAGATGATCTCCTGAGGTCTCTTTCAACCCTAATCTTCTATGATTCTGTCAAGGGAGAGATTTTCCACCCTATCTGGCCTAATCTCTGCGCTGTAGTTAAACCCACAAACAACCAGGAGGGCTTTTCTTCAGCTTTTGGGTCACATGTCTGCCTCCACAATTGTGACTTCCTATGCGAGACTACTCCTTGGATGTCTCCAGATGGGGTATAAATATATACTGTTCTTAACCACAATACACACAAACCCTCCAAATGGGTCATGGTGCCTCAAAGGTGTTGGGTGCACTTATGAGGTGGAAGAACCCACAAAGGGTCTGTATAGCAACCCCATTCTTGCATCCCACACCATCACAGAGCCTCATAACGGACACGTCTTTGTTAGAATGGGGAGCTCACTTGCAGTGAAATACAGCTCAGGGCAAAAGGTCTGCAAGAATCACTGCTTCACATCAATATTCTGGAGCTGAGAACAGTTTTTTACACTTGCCAATACATCCTCCGTGCCATTCAAGCCACTCAGTCAGAGGAATGCTAGAGAACAGGACAGCAGTGCATTACATTAACCGCCAAGATAGAGGCAAGATCCCAGTCCTTATGTGCAGAGTCACTAAGACTCTGGAACTGGTGTTTTTCCCATGCAATAAACATATTCGCTGTCCTACCAGACTCAGATACAAGTGCAGGACTCCCCGAGCAGACACTTCTGGCAAGACCATGAATGGGAGCTCAAAGACTCTCTTGCAACATCTGCCAGACCTGGGGTCTACCACAAGTAGATTTCTTTGCCACCCCAAACAACTCCAAAGGTCCCCTGTTTTGCTCCAGTGGAAGTTATGGTCTCAGTTTGCTGGGATGTGCTGATAGCTCCATGGCCTCGTGCCCTGCTTTATGTGTATCCATCGCTTCCATTAATCCTCAAGACTCTTCTCAAGCTCAGCAAAGAGAGGGCAAAAGCTATTATAGCACCAGCCGGGCCAAGATGGGTGTGCTATTCAAATTTCATCCACTTCTCAGAGGTGGCACCCCTCCAACTTTCTACCACAGAGGACCTATTGACACAGAACTCGGGGTCTCTCATTCACCCCAACTCTTCCTCTGTGAACCTCAGGGTGTGGCTCCTGAATGGCTCTAAACCATGGAATTAACCTGTTAAATTGCAGTAAAATCAGTGTTTTTGTCCAGTAGAAAGCCCAGGAACTGCCAGACTTACCTCCAGAAGTGGAAACATTTTCATTCTTGGTGCTGTCTTCCATCTTCCCAAGCCTTGGAAGTTCTGCCTTCCAAGATTCTGGACTACCAAGTGGAATTTAAAAGTGAGAGGTATATCAATGACCTATTAGGCTACAGTTGTCTGATATCACAGCTTTCCACTCACCCATTCATTGGCTCTTCCTTTTTTCCCACCCTGTCACAGACTGATTCCTCAAAGATCTATACAATTTGTATTTTCCTGTCTGAAACCCAGCTCCCCATTGGGGCCTCGCCCTGGTTCTTGATGCTCTGCGAGCCCTCTTCAAACTGATGGCCACCTGCTCTCTCCTCCACCTCTTCTTCAAAACTTCATTCCTGGTCACTATTACATCAAGAACAATGGGAGAGGTGGGGGCCCTCATGGCCAACCCACTACATATCACCTTTTATAGGGACAAAGTTTGTACTATGCCCTCATCCCCATTTTCTCCCTAAAGTCTCATTGGCATATCACATTAACCAAAAGATTCACCTGCCTGTATTCTACCCAAACCTCATGCTTCTAAAGAGGAATCAAGCCTTCATTCAGTGGATGTTAGACACCCCATCAGCTCTGTTCACAGAGTCCCACTGAGACAGACTCCTGAGGGAGACTTGCAGAATCTTAGGGAGCTGAGCTGTGACACTCAGCAGTGCTATCAAACAGTAGGGCTTATTAGTTGACTGGAACACAGCATAGGAAGACCAGGATTATCACAGAGAAGTGAAAGTTAAAGCATAGTCTCTTCCGGGTAGCCAGAGCCCAGCCAGGCTGTAGTGAGTCCTATTGTTCAAACTCTGTCTCCCTCTCTGTCTGATCCCCTTTTGTCAGACTCCCAACTTGCCATTGACTGCTTCCCATAGCCAACACTTAACTTACACCCCACCTCTTGCCCTCAGTCCTTTGTTCCTGAGCTAGGGAGATGCAATTCTGTCGCCTTGATGAGAGGTAGGGAAGTCCATGTCTCTCTGGGTCATTGGTTGCTAGGTGTCCGTGGTCTGTGTCCAGGCAATTGGATTTGCTATAGTCTTCTCAAGAGCTCCATTGATATGGGACCCAAGCCCTCAGACAGCTAGGCACTATTTATACCTGTCTTAACCTACTCTGACAGCAAACTCCCTTTTCACCCGTAGTTAACAATGGAGCATATAGGGATAACTGAGGTACAGACAGGCTTCATAAAAATATTACAAAAAATTTCCACTTTGTCACACCAATCCAGTACCGTCAATTTCTATGCTGTTCTAAACTACTTTATTTCTAATCCCCAAGATGGGTACAGCCTGACCTAATTTGCCATGATCCTACCAACTATGCCAGTTTATGGAACAAGGATAAAATGTTGTGTAATTTATATTAATACCTTGTTACATCATAGAAGATTTTTTTCCTTAGAACAAGCTAAGAGCTCTCTATAAAAATACTAAATTTATAAAATCAGGATGTATTTGAAAAGAGCAAGACATAGTCAAGTTAGAGATGGAAAAGATATAACCATGATCGAATACCTTTCTGCCAGGGCCATATTAATCACTGTCATAAGTGTAGGTAGATCTACACCATCCCAGTGAATGTTTCTGAATTTCCTGGGAGTAACTTTACTTACAGGGCTAGTAAGGTTTTAAAAGAAAAACTTAGGCTTTTGGTTTACACACTGTTCTCTCCCTTGCTAATGGCATTTGCTGTTACTGTGATCATATCGTATGTAAGTGTCTATCCAAGGGGAATACTGCAGGTTTGAATGAGCAGTATGTGTCACTTTACAGTAGCTCTGTTGCCTTTTACAGTCCAATTTTAAATGTGGTTTCTACCACTTACTGTGGAAAGTGTTCAGTTTCTTTTAAATTTGCTGTTTTCTACATCTTTTTTGGTGTCTTTCGCCATTTTATTTTACTTTACTTCTCTCTGGATAGAGAGCAGAAACTGAGAACGTAGTGATCAGCTATCTTCCCAAGCTGTTAAAATACTTTGCAAGTATATAGTGCCTTCCGCTGAATGATTTCAAATGCCTTAACATCTATGGAAATAGAGGGTAATTTCCATTGTATAGGGAGGGAAGAACAAGGCCCACTTACAAGGTCTTGCAAAGTTTGTACCAGAACTAGGCTTAGAGTCCAGATTCCCTGACTACACGATCATGTTATTTCCTTAAACTCATCTTGTAACGCACCAAATGCAGTCAGTTTTTAAAGAACAGTATTTCCCTGCTGCTTCAATTAGTTTAACTAGGGGAACTTAAGGGCTGTCCCAAACCAAATTACATATGTAACTGTGTTCTTCATCCTCACACCCAAATACAAAAAAGATGCTAGGTTGTTCCCTAGGCAGTTTGCAGTTGTGGATGGGATGTGAGGGCTCAATTTCTCTGCAGCATTTTGCAAACTCAGGGAGAGGAGTGGCAAATATAAACGGCAATATTACCTTCCCTACGTTTTTATTTCTAATAATATGCTTTCTCTAATGTAATGTTTATTAAATTTATGAGAGCGGTATGGGAAGGTAAGTAATCTGATTATTGGACCTTTAAGCAAAAGTAATTAATGGATACAGTTGGGTTGGAAACAAAGAAAATAGGCTCAGTCTTTCATCCCTGCCTTGTGAGCATTTACTGGGAGCTAGACTAGATAAAAAAATAATGGCTGTATGAGTTTTTCCTCACTCATCAACTGAGTACTACACTCGGGTAGAGCAGTAATGCAGGCTGTGAAAAGATCTGGGCTCTCCTAAATTGTGATCCCCTCTCTGGTACGGTCTCAATGTCTGGCCTTAAGGTAATCCCCTCTCTGTACTCCAGCCCTTCCTCAATTGTAACAGGGCGATGGGCCTGACGAGCACCAGTCCCCCCCGGCGGAGGCAGTAGGAGAAGGAAGTGCGGGTTATTTCCATAGCACGGTGCAGCTGTAAAAGGCTAAATGGGACAATTTCAGGGAGATTAACACTAACTAACCCTGGGAGCTGACACAGCCGCAGCGGTGATGAGAAGCGGGGGTGGGGAAGCTGCTGCTGACGAACAAGTCCCTCCACTCCTGCCTGCAGCACAGCCCCCGGCCAGGAACAGAGGGGCCCGAGATACAGACAGGTCACTTCCTGCTATGCGGAGCTGGCAACAAGATTTGAGGCAAAGCCTACAGCTAGACCAAGCGTCTCCTCGGAGCCATCTGCCTGCTGGGGAGCCCGGGGCTCCCAGGCACAGACCAACCCCCAGAAACCAGCCAAGGGCTGGGGGAGGAGTCGCCCCCCTGGGGCTCGCAGGCATTGACCGCCCCCCCCCCCCAAAAAAACCCCCAAAACACCGTGGGCAGGGGGAGAGTCTCCCCGGCCCTGACTAGCCGGCGGCGCCCGGCTCCGTGCGCTCGGCGGGAGGGGGGGATGGCTGTGGCTCTAGCCAAGCCCGCCTCTCGGGGCTCCAGAGCGGCCCGGGGCCGGGCGGGGACGGCCATGAGCGGCTGGGCCCGCCCCCTTCTGCTCCTGCTGGCTGGGGCCTGCGGCCTCGCCCTGCTCGGCTACGGCGTCTACTTCGACCGGCGGCGGAGAAACGCCCCCGACTTCCAGCGGAGGCTGCGGCAGAGTGCGTGTCCCCCCCGGCCCGGCCCGGGAGCGGGAGGCCGTTAGGCGGGGCCGGGCCGCTCCCGCCTCCGAGCTGGCGGGGCGCCCCGTCGCCCAGGCATTAGCCCCCTCCTCTCCCCGGGCGGGGGAGCTGCAAGCACCGCCCCTGCGATGCAAGGCCTCCCCCCCCCAAGTGTGTGTGTGTTAGAGACCCTCCCCGTAGCAGTGCCAGGCCTCGGTCCCACACGGAGCGTGGGCAGGGAGGGCGCAGGGGGAACTGGGCTGAAGTGACCCCCCCCTCAGCCTAGTCAAGTCTAAGGCCTGAGCCCCTTTGGCCTACAGCCCTTGGACCTTCCCTTTCACCCCCCCCCCCCCGAAAATAAATAATTCCTGCCTCACATAAATCCCACTCCATCACCCCAGGTGGGATTTTCCAACCTGCTTAAATCACTTCTCATCCGTGCCCTATTTTCATAAGTGCCCTGCAGCAGCACAGCTAGGGGCGGGTAGCCGGACTCCAGTAGCGCAGACGCTTGCTCCAGCCACCGACGGGGGTTTTTTCCCCCGGTGCTGGAGTGAGTCCGCCTCACGGAGAGGCTAACGGAAGAATTCTGCTGTTGACCGAGCGACAGCTACGCTGGAGGTTGGGTTGACCTAGCTGCAAACGTTTTTCACGGCCCTGAGCGCTGGAGTGAAGTCGCTCGTAATTTTTAAGTGTAGACCAGGCCTCAGGCACTTCGGTGGGTGAGCTCCACTGACCTCCAAAGAGACTTCGGCAATGTCTACACTGCCACGTTCAGTGCTAAAACTTAAGTCGTTCAGGAGTGTGGACCCCCCCCCCCCCCCACGCGCGAGCGACAAAAGTTTTAGCGCTGAAAAGCGCCAGTATAGGCAGTGCTTTATCTCCCGGCGATAAAGCTACCACCCTGCGTTTGGGGTGCGTTCTTTTTAATCGCCGGAAGAGCTCTCCGGCATCGGTAAAGCTTGTCTATACTGCCCACATCACAGGGCTGCCGCCCTGTAACGTGAGCAGTGTAGACATACCCTTAGTGCACCTACGTGTCTAATAATTCACTTGAGAATGGGCCCTAGACTTCTAAAACACTTAAAGCCAAATTTCTAAAGGTATTCAGGTGCCTAAAGATGAAAATCCCACTAGAGGACTATCTACAACACTGCTTATGCACCAGGGGAGTTAGGCACCTAGGTGGTTTGGAAAATCCCACTAGGCACCTAAATACCTTTACAAATCTTGGCCATAGGGTAACATTTTTAAAAGTGGCAAAGTGACTTAGGAGCAGAAGGCCATGGTTTTTTGAAAATCTCACTCCAGATGCTTACTTGTTCTAAATTCTGTCTTGAGCAAGAATTTCTGCAGAGTGTTTGTAGTAAAACATATGAGCTCATCAGCAACATAAAACTGAAATGTAGCTTGGCTTCCTTCTGATCATGATTCGGTTTTTTTAATTTGAAATATTTTGGTGTACTTAATAAAGTATCAACAAATATCTATATGGCAAATTCAACTCCCTGAGCATCTCTCATTTTAGAGAAGAGGTTGACATGTTATAGAAAATTTAACAGGTCAGTTCAAGAAGAGTTTAAAAATATTTATAAATAAAAAAAATTAGGTACAATTTACCTTTGTAGGTTTCTCTCATATCTCTATCTTCCAATTATATCTGTTTTCATGTTAGAGTATCAGCACATTTTGGATGAGATAATACTAAAATGGAAGAAAAACTTTGGAGAAGCAGACTTGACAATCTTTTTGGAGTTCTGAACTATGTTAAATGCACTATGTTACATTTACAGAAAGAAGAAAAGAACGTGAAAAAGCTAAAGAGCATGATGCTGAGGTAAACCTTCAGTTTAAAAATCACTTAAACTTAGTAGAAAGAATACTAACTTAACATTGAATGTCTTTTTGGTTGTACTGATCTGAGCCAAAGCACAAAGGGGAATTAGGAACCCAACTCATTTGTGCCCTTGAAAATCTCCCCCTACACTGAGAGAGGGATTTATGGTCAAGTGTAGTACCTGAAATTAGTTTTTAACAATAACTGTTTCAAGTTGACTGTGTCCTTTTAACTCTAAGACATATTTGAGACTAAAGTTGTTTTTGATTTAGTAAATTTGTAGCACACCCGCAGCTCACTTTTACATTCATAAAGTTTTGGCTAATCTTAATTTGTTAGAGAAAGTAGATATAGTCGAAGGGTACAATTATCCACCATTAGTACTTCCTCTCCTGCCTCACTTCCCAAGGTGGGGGATGTGAGGAGAGACTCATCTACTGTGTCGTTGTGGGCATTCCCATCCTTTACTACAGCCACATCCTCAGTCACTATTGAGCTATTTTATCTTTATCATGAAGACAAAGCAATGTATGTATTCCAGAATTCAGTGCAGGGCGCAACCTTGGCTTGCAGAGCTATAATCTCCCCAAAGAGCAGCCACCGCCCTTCACCAACACCCATTTTGCACTAGCAGGCAGCACTGAAATCATTTTCACTAATATAGCAAGTTAAGATAATTCCCAACCCCAGACTACAGAACCCTGTCGTCAAACCTCTGTAGGGTTTTTTTTTTTTTTAAACAGTACTGTTTTGGTCAACAGTCTGGGAAAAGCAAAATGACCCAGGGAGCGGAGGAGGGAAATCAAAGATGTGTCAAGAAAAACAGTGACCGCCATAGGTTTGACAAATATAAGTCTAAATGGCAATTTAGAAAACAGCACTGCAAATTAATCTTTTGGGAAATCTTTTTCTTTACTACCAGTTTTCACAGTAACTACCGAGATGTCTTAGTTGCACTGATGCGTCTTATTTCTAAGCTAAAAATATTTTATAACATCTTTAGTTATGCAAGATGAAAAATATTGGAAGGGTACAGGAATTCTTTCTGCAAGAGGTGCAGCTGGGAGAACACTGGTTATCTAGAGGTAAGGACATAAGCATGGGCTCTTGTCAACAGCTGCGCAGGATGTGTGTTGCAGTTGGTTTGTTTTTCACATAAATTGCCTTGAAATGCTCAGCTGAAGTCAAGGTGCAGTATCATTTTAGCACAGACAAACTAAATTGTTTTGTCAGACCTCAAGCACATTGTACATGCAGAAGTCAGGCACTGTCTGCTCCACCTTATTTCAAGATGGTGGATAGCATGAGGCTTGATGCTGATAGGAATTCCTACACTTGAAAGTAGGCGGGGAAGGAGGCAAAGGGAAATGAAATTTCAATTAGATTTGGAGAATTAAAAGTTATTACTGGATTACAAAGGGTTAAAAGGTTTTTAAAGCAATGTCGAGAGGGGTTTTAGAAGGCCTGAAAGTGAGTAACTAAAGAAGATTCCTGATACATCCCAACCTTCTTCTCCTTCACCTTTCTCACTGCACCCTCCACCCCAAAGAGCTTTCCCCAAAAGATACAAACCCTGGCCCTAGCCCAATCACTTAAAATTACTCCTCCTTTGTTCTGCCTAATTCAGGTAGCCCCTCCATCAAGCATTTATGGAAACTTGGGTTTCTGAATAAATGAACACTTTTGCAGAAGGGGGTCTACTTTCCTCAAATACTTGTCTTTTCATTGGAAAACAACACAAAGGGTGGAGGAGCGGACAGTTTTTTTTGGGGTGGGGGAATGGTATGAAAAGTAACATTTGGGCGGGGGGAATGTTTTCCAATCAACTCTAAAATTTAGTTTAAAATATAAATTTGCTTCAGGAGACCATAAGAAGAGCGTGGAGCACCTCACTAATGCTATTTCAGTGTGTGCACAGCCACGTCAGCTACTGCAGGTCTTGCACAATACACTACCACCACAAGTCTTTGAGATGCTTATGAGGAGAATACCATATGCAAAACAAGTACGTACACTTTAAAAAAGTTAAAGAGGAAACTATTGGTGTTACGTGTGCTGGACGCTATCTAGTCAGCAATATACATTGAAATAGATTGGGAGCTTGCAGGTTTTTTTGTAGAGAACCATTGTTTGTACAGGTTTCAGAGTAACAGCCGTGTTAGTCTGTATTCGCAAAAAGAACAGGAGGACTTGTGGCACCTTAGAGACTAACCAATTTATCTGAGCATGAGCTTTCGTGAGCTACAGCTCACTTCATCGGATGCATACTGTTGCACAACTGTATCTCAGTTTTTAGAACTTGTCATTGATTTTCTGCACTTTGGAACTCTGGTTCCTGTGGCTGCTGAGGTAAATTGTTTAAGCCATGAATTGTCAGGAAAGGGTAATATTTAATAAGAAAGGAACCAATACAGAAGGCTCAAGCTGGAATGATTATGAAAAAAAGACTGAGCAGCACCTCTCTGCCTTTACACTTCTAAAGAGTATTGGATTGAATACCGATAATTACTGGAATTTCAACTCAGTTCTTTAAGAGGACATGCCTGAAACTAAAGTTTGCACCAAATGGAATTTAGCAGCCAGATTGCTTCGTACAGTGGTTCTCAACCAGGGGTACACATACCCCTGGGGGTACTCAGAAGCCTTCCAAGGGGCATATCAACTCACTTAGATTTTTGCCTAGTTTTACAACAGGCTACATAAAAAGCACTAGCGAAGTTAGTACAAACTAAAATTTCATATACAATGATTTGTTTATAACTGCTCTGTAAACAATACACTGAAATGTTAATACAATATTTATATTGCAATAGATTTTTTATAATTATATGGTAAAATGAGAAAGCAATTTTTAAGTAATCGTGTGCTGTGACACTTTTGTATTTTTATGTCTGATTTTGTTAATTTTTAAGTAAGGTGAAACTTGAGGGTACACAAGACAAATCAGACTCTTGAAAGAGGTACAGTACTTACTCCTGGTGGAATTCTGTGCCAAAAAAATTAAAAATTCTGCACACAATATTTTAAAATTCTGCATATTTTATTTGTAAAAATAATACAATATAATCACACCAGTTTCAATTATTTTTGGTAGTTTATTTCAAAATACCTCTCAGCAAGTATGTCTGTAACAATACAGACAACAAAAAAGATTCAGGAAATATTTTTTGACAAGTAGATTCCTTACAAGGTATATTAATACAGAACTCTTCAGTAATAATTCATTTAAACTACAATACAGAACCATATTTCCCGCACCCCTCAGAAGCAGTGCAAAGGCTTGGGGGAGTCAGGGGTAATGGAGGAGCTGAGGGAGAGGGAAGTAAAGTACTGGTACGGAACCTGGGTATGAACTTGAAGGGTTGTTGGGTATGGGTGGGAAAAGCATGGAACAAGTTTTTGCGGGGTGGGAAGGGATTGTTAAGAAGCTTCCCCCATGCAGATCCTGGCTGACTCCTAGTTTCTCCTATTCAGTCAGGCACATCTGCCCCTGTCCCCATGTGTGTCTGTGCCTTCACCCAGCCACTCCCCTGTCTTGTCTCCCTATACCTCTTCCCCCATCCCATGCGTCTCTGTACACCCACCCAGCCACCCTGTGTCCCTGTAGCTCCTCCCCATCCCCTTGTGTCTCTGTGCCCCCACCCAGCCACTCCCCTGTACCTATGTAGCTCTGCACCTCCCTTTCCCCTGTGGCCATGCCTCTACTCCCATTCAGCCCCTGCCCCAGTCTCTCCTCCCCCACTAGCCCTTATGAGCCCCAGTCTGACCCCCTCAGAATTCCATACTGTCTGTCTCCCCATAGCTCCTGTCTCCTGACCTGGCATGACCAGCGCTGCGAAGAAGGCAGCTCTTTCTCTTCCCCCTCTGGCAGGGAGCTGCAGCTTTGTTCTACCACTACAGCGCCCTCTGGTGGGCAAAAGGCAGAACTACAGCAACATTTTGGCAGAAGCTTTTTTCTGCACAAAAAATTAGAAATCTGAGGGGCTCATTAATTATGCACGCAGCAGTGCAGAATTCCCCCAGGAGTAAATAGTCTGGAAAGGTTGAGAGCCACTGGCTTAGTAGATACCTTTTTATTTACCAGTTAAAGTGAAAATAAAATTGAGTCTGCCAGATCTTATTCACAGTAATACATCACAGTGGTTGTGTATAACTGAACAAAGCACAGACCATGTCTGTTTTCTACTCCATTCAGAATAAGGCTATTTGATAATGAAATACCAATAAACTGTCATACTACTGCATTAACAATCAGATTCAAGAATTATATTCACTGTAATAAAACGATGACAAAGAACCATTGTTTCCACTACCTTGAAAACACAAACATTTAATTTGCATAAATGCTCATGTTTTATCTCAACGCTTATCAGCAGAAGATGTCATCTTGTGAGCACCTCATATATTCTACTGGCATTCTCTTATGCTGGGTAGCCTAGTAGTATTGAAAGAATAAGTCATGTATCATGTAATAAACATGAAATTAGGAGTAACCTTTGGATTTCCTGTGGGGGAGGTATGCAGTAGTAGTTCTGGCAGTGAATGCTGCTAATTAACATGCTCCTGTGCCACTCATGTAGGGGGAAAAAAAAAAGTAGGCCAAAATCAACATTGAGATAAACTGGTAGAACTTTGAAATCAATGGAGTTGTGCCAGCTTGCATGTGTTTTTTTTATAGCAGCTGTCTGCCCTCATACCATAAAGGCAAGTGCTACAGACTCATAGAAATATAGGGCTGGAGTCAAGAAGTCACTAAGTCCAGTCCCCTCTGCTGAGGCAGGCCCAAGTAAACCTAGACCATCACTGACAGGTGTTTATCCAACTTGTTTTTAAAAACCTTTCATGATGGGAATTCAACCACCTCTCCTGGAAGCCTATTCCAGGACTTAACTACCCTAATAGTTAGAAAGTTTTTTAATATCTGACCTAAATCTCCCTTGCTGCAGATTAAGACAAATATTTCTTGTCCTAGCCTTCAGTAGACACTGAGAACAATCCATCACCATCCTCTTGCTAACAGCCCTTTACATATTTGAAGACTTATCAGGTCCCGGCTCAGTCTTCTTTTCTCAAAGACTAAACATGCCCAGTTTTTTTAAGCTTTCGTCAGAAGTCAGGTTTTCTAAACCTTGTATTATTTTTGTTACTCTCCTTTGGACTCTCTCCAATTTGTCCACATCTTCCCTGAAGTGTGATACCCAGAATTGGACACAGTACTCCAACTGAGGCCCCACCAGTGCAGAGTAGAGCAGGACAATTACCTTCTGTATCTTACATACGACAGTCCTGTTAATAAAACGAGCACGATGTTAGCCTTTTTTTACAACCGTATCACAGTATTGACTAATTCAGTTTATTATCCAGTATAACTATGACAGCGAATCATTGACAGCTACTCGTTGAGTATGAAGAAAAGGAGTACTTGTGGCACCTTAGAGACTAACCAATTTATTTGAGCATGAGCTTTCGTGAGCTACAGCTCACTTCATCGGATGCATACCGTGGAAACTGCAGCAGACTTTATATATACACAGAGAATATGAAACAATACCTCCTCCCACCCCACTGTCCTGCTGGTAACAGCTTATCTAAAGTGATCATCAGGTGGGCCATTTCCAGCACAAATCCAGGTTTTCTCACCCTCCACCCCCCCACAGGAGAGTGAATTTGTGTGGGGGGGTGGAGGGTGAGAAAACCTGGATTTGTGCTGGAAATGGCCCACCTGATGATCACTTTAGATAAGCTATTACCAGCAGGACAGTGGGGTGGGAGGAGGTATTGTTTCATATTCTCTGTGTATATATAAAGTCTGCTGCAGTTTCCACGGTATGCATCCGATGAAGTGAGCTGTAGCTCACGAAAGCTCATGCTCAAATAAATTGGTTAGTCTCTAAGGTGCCACAAGTACTCCTTTTCTTTTTGCGAATACAGACTAACACGGCTGTTACTCTGAAACCTGTCGTTGAGTATGGTCTTTCAACCAGTTGTGTAACCACGTTATAGTAAAATTTCATGTAGACAATGTTTCCCTAGTTTGCTTATGAGAATGGGATTTGGAACTCTATCAAGAGCCTTACTAAAATCAAGATACATCACATCTACTGCTCCCCGCCATCCATTAGGCCAGTAATCTTGTCAAAAAAGGAAATTAGGTTGGTTTGGCATGATTTGTTCTTGACATATCCATGCTGACTATTCCTTATAACTGTATTATCCTATGACAACCGTTTGCCCTGCGGAGCATAGGGGAAGACTGCTGGTTAGGGAAGGTGCTTGCTCTAGCCATTCTCGAATGGGCGAGAAGATGAGAGAAGGAGATAACAAAGGCTTTGTCAGAATAAAAAGAAATAAGTATTCACATGACCCTAGCTGATGAGGTAATTAGTCACTAACTCTTATCTGTTTGTTAGCGACTTCAAGCAGCACTGAATGAGCAGGACTGTGCAGAAGATGAGAAGGAATGAGAGATGGCAACAATGTTAAGGCAGGACTCTAGCCATCTAGCCTATAAACCCTTGTTTGGAAAGAAAATACATACAAAACTGAACAGTTTCCATTTATTGTACTTTGATTAAATAAAAACATTTTGAAGACATTTTTGTATATATTTCTGTACAGCACTTTTTGCATTAAAATTAATAGTCGTAGTGGAAGAAACAAAAAAATGGTCCTCTCCCTCCCTTGCCCCCAACGTAGTAACCAGCATAACCAGTCTGCAGGCCTCTAGAAATGGTTGTATCAACATTATTCCATTGCACAGTAAAAAAGGACCACAGAAATTGACTCTGTTCGCCAGCAGGCGATTACCAACTCTTGGTAGAGTCCATAATTGTTTCCCCAATGGTTTCCACGTGCCAAACGGTCTCTGAAACTCTGCTGTGAGCTGGTGGACACACCCACAACAGAACACCTCCACTTGTAATCCAGCAAACATTGGCACTGCTTTAAAGCAAGGTTGGAATAGAATTCTCTTTTGTTTAACGAGGTTGCCCAAGAAGTCCTGCTTTGGCAGCTAGAGCTTCATTCTGCTGAATATGATACTCCTGAAATCTCATGGATATCCTCTGCGTCATTTTTAAATATTTCTGTAGGCAGTGTTCTGAGCACGTCATCTACAGGAAAAAGGAGACACAGAAAGACCACAACAATGATTAAAGGAAAAACTGACTGAAGACAGTTTATGATGGCATATGACTAGGTGAATACACTCGTGTCCTATGCTTATGCTGCCTTTAGCCCCATGATCACTGCCCAGCCTGTTCCTGATGGGAAAAAATGTCAAGTTTAGTTTTCAAGGAAAATATGAAAAGCTGAGTTTTCTTTTGGCATTCATTCCAATGGAAAACTACCCTAGAGAATCTTTTAAAAATGAAAGAAGTCATTATGTCTCCCTTATCCCTACGATCCTCTGAAATAAAATCTATAGTCTCCTACCTTATGGCAAAGGCCAATATTACATCAGTCGCTATTTCTTTAAATTCTGTTTGACTCACCTTCTGCCCATGGCAGCCAAATGTGGCCTAGTATATCCCGTTTATCCTAGGCTTCCATTGGGATCCCTCCAACTAACTGTATCTAGCACTTATGATGTGTACTCAGAGAACTTTTCCTAGGGCTGCTGAAATTATTCTTGTCATTCTGTGGCTCAGTTGGCTGGGATGGTAGTAAAAGTACTATGCCCATTCCATGTTCTGCACTGCATCACTTTTGCAAAATTGGTTTTACCAATCTACAGCAGGTTTCCAAAGCTATTCCTGGGCCAGTGTTGCACATGTTAGACAGCTAGCACGTCCCTACAGCCCACTGCTTCCCGCAGCTCCCATTGGCTGGGAACGACGAATTGCGGCCATTGCTGCGGGGGGGCCTTGCCTGCGGATGGTCAACGTAAACAAAATGTCTCGCGGTCCACCTTTGGATTACCCTGATGGGCCACATGCTGAAGGTTGCTGACCCCTGCATTATATGATGCTCCCAAACTAGCTGTCATTATCAAATATGAACTGATAGTTACAGTGAAAGCATACCAAGCTTGCAAACTGGTCCTGTTCCCTTTGTTTCTATCATTACCAATAAACTAGGAGTTGTTTTGATCATGTTTAGAATTTAGAAATGGGGAAAGGAGGTCTAAACTGTTGTTGTCTGGACATCAGCTACCTGGTAAAACCTGTTGAGCAGGAGTGAACTCTAGCTAAATAACTACAATGAGGGAGCCTGGAACAGCTCCAAACCATTGCTCCCAGAGGGTGTAGTATTCAGGGGATGGTGCCTTGGGAAGGGTAGACTTGCACCAGGGGTTGCTGTGTGGAAAAGTGATCAAAGATGAATTTTAAAAAAATTGTGGCATTGCTCACAGGAGATTCCTGGAAGCTTTTGATATTTACTTAATATGAAACTAAAACTTGAATAGGAACGTATGAAGTGCCATACCAGATCAGACCAGTGGTCCATCTAATACAGTATCCTGTTCCCAATAGTGGCCAGTGCCAGATGCTTCCCAAGAAGGTGCAAGAAACCCTGTAATGGACAATTACATAATAAACTGTCCATAAAGAAAGTTTCTCCCTAATCCCCATCGGTTAATGATTAGCTCATGTCCTGCAGCATGGGGGCTCCTTTACAGAGTACAAAAGAAAAATGGCTAGCTACAGGTTGCTGTTTATATCCAAAAATCTTAAAAGACTCTACAGGCATGATCCATCAGGATTCTCACCAGCAGAACTCCCATTAAGAAGTTTTATCCGTGAGTGGTAGCAGGATAAGGTACAAGTCTGACCTTCCCAAGGCACTGGATGTCACATCAGCCCTGCAGGCTATAAATGTTGCCTCCAAAACATTTCAGTCAGTTCCTTTAATTGCACAGGAGGTGAACCACCCGTATGGCTAAAACAATTCAAAATGATTCATGCTTTAAAAATGGCTCCAAAAATACACAAACAGTGCAAGATGGGAAACACCCTCCAAAGAGGATGATACCAAACTCTGAGGGAAAGTGAGTGAGCATTCCAGGAGATTCTCTCTTCAGAGAAGTAGATAACAGGTGGGTAATTTTCCCTTCTCCAGAGAATTCTCATTCTTATAGAGGCTCTAGGAATGCCCCAGAACAAAATATGTTGTTGCTGCTTGTTGCAGCATTACAAGGCCAATGTCAGCACCGAAAACAGGGAGGCTATCTGCATATATGTGAAGAAAAGGAGGAAGATACTGCCTTCCAAGGTCTGATGTGCAATGTCCTGTAAAGCGCCGGGCATGCACTTAGTCCTGCGACTACAAGCCTCAGGGGTCAAATTTTTTCAAAAGCTGTGATGTGGGAGATCTATTGTTTGCAATGCAAGGGAGCTAAGATGAAAGAGCAAGAATCCAATCAGAATGACATCTGCACAGAAACAGAACCACAAATATATTATTGTCTCTTCAGTTAACATTTCTCACCTGCAGGCTGCCTACATACTGAAGAGCTATAACCTCTTGTAGGTTAGTTTAACTAATTTTTGATCGGATCAAAACTTTCAAAGCTGCTTATCAAATTCAAACATCATCATACAGCATTTCCACAAAAGAGAAACCCAAAATACACAACAAGGGCATACCTCTTCTGATTTAACCTCCCTGCTAGTGAAATCTTTCACACAATCCAGGAAACAGGTTTCTGTAAGTTTATTGTATGTCCCAAGAAACTCCTTGAACTGTAACAAATTGAACAGACATTCAATATTAAAAGAAAAGAAGACATTTTCAAACTTTTCCCACGTACAGTTTGCAATAGCTGCATATACCATTCAGTGACATTAACAGAACAGACTACTCATTTAAAGTGACAAGTCATCAGAGGTAATTTAGTATCAATTCAATAACATCATTTGATATTGACAGCTACTGTTCACCTAGATCAGATACTGTTCCATGCCTCTTGATTTGCTGATGATTAAAATAATGAAATCTTGGCTACCTTAATACTGTTCCCAATTCATAAAAGAAGTTAAGATACAACTCAGGCAACATTTTACTTGGTAATTAACTGGGGGGGGGGGGGGGGGGGGGGAGCTGCATTTCATATATGCATGCTAATAACTTCCCTACCTTTGAAAATAAAATGCTGAAACCTCTTGAAACTAGCTTCCATAAAACTCCATTGCTAAGCTTCATTCTGTTGAGGTAATGCAAGCTTCTCAAAACCATCATTTATTAATACAGTACAGCATCTTACCTGTTTGATCTGATCAGATTCTGATATTTGCCCAGCCATATTCTATTGGTCTGCAATCAGCCACCTAATTTTAAGATAACATTTGTGTCATAATTCACACCAAAACACACCTACAAGAAATATAACATTTGAAGGCTGAATAAAACTCTGCCCCTTCTGTAAGCGTAGCCAGACATAACTGTGGTTTCAAAGAAACAAGAATAAGTGGCTACTGGGTCTTAAGTTCCCAGCATGATCTGCATCTAACAAAATACTACAAGGACAGGCTTACATGTGATTTAAAGAAACAGCTTCTGGTTAAATTTGGCTCAAATTTTACATCTTATAAAAATAAAGTTTTATAAAATCTAAAACCAATAGAAATGATGCTATGATTTGTAAAGTTCCAACAGAAATAGTTTGTTGGTTTTGGATTTTTTAGCAGCCCCCTGCAATGGCTATAACAGAAGAGTCTTGTTTTAATAATCTAATTTCTTACTTATTACAAATAACCCCTTAATGAGTGACATGATTCTCATTGACAGTATCCATTTAAATGGAAGCTATCAAGTTGAAATGTAGTCAGTTAAAAAAAAAATGTCCAACATAGGGTCAGATACCACACCTTTTCAAGTCCCCCTGCCAGTTTTTGTAATTACATTTTTCTATTTCAAATAATAGAGAAGAGCAATATTAAAGAAAGATCCAAACAGGTGAAACACATTACAGAGAAAACACCAAAACTAGCTACAAGTAAAGAGCTGTCAGATACACAAAGTAAAACGGGGGGCGGAAGAGACCTCTAGTTACCTTTCAGTTACAGCAACACTTGGATAAAAGAAACAGCACTCTATAGTATTCTAAATTTATTAAATTAATTCCACCCCCACCACTTCTTAGAAACCAGCTCATGTTTTTAAAACATTTATTGTTTTAGTCATTAGAAAAACAGTAAAACTACAAATACTTGTGCCAGTGAATCTAGTGAGTTAAATATAAGGGATTATGAAGAAATAAAAATAGCATTAAAAAAGAAATGAACAACAGGTGAGGAAAAGTGAAAGCTAATGGAGTCTATGAAGAAAGAATTTAAGAAGGGATCTTCAAAAACAAAGAAATTCCTTATACAGTGTGGTAAACAAGTTAAGACTTGAGACTTTCTAGGAGAGAATAGTTCTGGTGTCTGCAATTCAAGAAGGATGTTGGTAAATTGGAGAGGGTTCACAGAAGAGCCACAAGAATCATTAAAGGATTAGTAAACATGCCTTGTAGTGGACTCAAGGAGCTCAACCTATTTAATTTAAAAAGAAGATTAAGAGGTGACTTGATCAGTCTCTAAATACCTACATGGGGGACAAATATTTGACAATGGACTTTTCAATCCTGCAGAGAAAGGTATAACATGATCCACTGGCTGCAAGTTGAAGCTAGACAAATTGAGACTGGAAAACATAGTATAAATTTTCAACACTGAGGGTAATTAACCATTCAAACAGTTTACCAAGGGACATGGTGGATTCTCCATCACTGGCAACTTTTAAATCAAGATTAGATGTTTTTCTAAATATGCTCTTGGAATTATTTTAGGGAAGTTCTATGGCTATGATCATCTAGTCTGGCTTCCTGTATAATACAATGGTCCCTTCTGGCCTTGGAATTGATGAATCTATGTATACTGAAAGCTGTTGTCTTCCTTCCCCCAATTTATACATGGCCTGAGGCTCACTGCTATCCCTCGGTGAAATTAACATTAAAAATTGAAAAATCAAATGCAGTAACACTATAAGCAAATCACACACACAAAGTTCTCACTAAATCCTTTCCACTCACACCTCTTCTGACAGGGCTCAAGTAAACAGATGAACTTTGCAGCATGTCCTAAGATCAACAGACTCTGAGGTGGTCTATGCTTAGAAGTTTTGCCAACATAACTGTGTTGGTAAGGGATGGAATTTTTTTGCCACATAGTTGTGCCAGTAAAAGCCCTAGTGGAGATGCAGCTATACGAGGTGTTTTTTTACTGGTATAGCTTATTTTTGTTCCTTCTACAGTTGCATCTACACTAGAGGGGTTTTGCCCCTTTAAACTAGTGAAAGTGGCAAAACTTTAACTGCAGATGAGGCCTCTGGATCAGGCATATCAAGGCTGGTGTGGTGGTGGGAAGAAAGAAAAGGAAAGTGAATTCCAGGGTCAAAGGCTCTCCGCTGAGAACATTCTACCCCAGGCCCCCAACGTACAAATCTGAGAACTGTTAGCTCAAGTGTCTGAGTAGATCTCAGCCGTCAGTGTTGAGCATGGGAGAAGAAGCGCTCTCAGATACCAAGAAACCAAACCAAAGGGCTCTATAGATTAGAACCTTGACTTGCACCTGAAAATAACTTAAAACAAATCAGAAGCTAGTACGAATGTAATATGTTCTCTATGTAAAACTTCACTAAGAAAGTTGACTGTGTTCTACATTAGCTTAAATCTGATCATTAGGTAAAGGTGTTTAAAAAAATAATCTAAACTGGAGATGGCACACACAGATAAATGGTGACATCTGCATCAGATAGGAATGAGTGCAACTGCCTGGCTGAGCACAAGTTTAAAGAGTGAAAATCTAAAAATCAATCATGGCATATCACATAAAAGCTGGCTGCTTAACAATGAGCAATACCAAACTGAGCTTTATTAAAAGCACATGCCTCGGGTGGAGGGTACAAGGTATATATTTGGAGCCACCTTCAGCCTAGTAAAGTCAGAACCAAGGTAGCTCATTATCAGGGAGTGTTAAAGCCCCACCGAGAAACAGAAAACTCCTGTGTCCCTGCCAGGGTGCAAAAAGCTAATGGCCTCAACTCCCAGCACTGCCTCTTCCCCATATTTTGTATTCCGTTTATCTTTTTTTTATTTAATCAGACTTGATGGCCTGCCATTTTGTCACTTATTTAATGAGATTAGAACTGATGATTTCGTAAACTGAAGTTCCAGAAAACCTTTGCAGCTGTACTTGAAAAATAACTTTCTTTTAGAATTTAACACAACAGCACTGTCTGACTGTAAATGTCTTTGAAGCACAAATCTGTTGCCCTTACTTTTATGCCTTCCATACTGTGGGCAGTACATTAATATGGCTCTACTGCATGTCTTCAGTGGCTGTCACTGCTAGTTGGCCTTATACCTCCAAAATATACTGTCTGGTATATTAAGGTATGTTTACATTGTATATCATATCTGGTTCTAGTTGTTGTTCACATCTGGTCTTTGAGACTAAAGGAAGAATGATAAAATAAGCCATTTCTGCCTGAATTTTCGAATCTGTCTTAAGTGTTAGTCATGGCAACAATGGCTAAACTTCTTACGTGGCAGCTCAAAGCACTCAGAACGTGTCAGGTGCAACTCTTGTACTAGCCCAGCCTCAAGATGGTAGAGGACTGCTTTGGGCTAAACGTGACTGAAAAACTAGGTGCTGTGTTTTTTTAACATGAGTAACCTCAGGGGAAGGCAGATAGCCAATATATAAACAACTACACACAAGGCTGCATATGGTTAGACTACACAGCAGCATGCCCCGAGTGCCCTGGACCACCAGGGATGTGCAAATACCTAGGATAATATCACTTGTTAAAATGCTACAGAGTTGCTATTAACATTTTCAATATATCAAAAGCCATTTTCAGTGGTTTTATTAAATGTAAGAACAAAAACAGTTGAGAGTTAAAAGCTTTGTACTGTTAAGTGTAAAAGCTTTCCTTCCCCCATGATCCCCTTTCCAAAGGTAACAGACCTTGAGCCTGTTAGATCCTAATGCCTGTACACATGGCATTCCCAGCCTCTCCAGCTTTGCCTCAGAAACTGAAAAATGTTCTGAAGTTCCCTTCTGTGGGCTGCCACTCCCATTGCCATGGAAACAGCTGATCTCCAGGTAATCATAGCTTTAAGAAACCTGCTTTCTTTTTATAAAAACAGTGATTAGGTTAAAGCTTCCCAGCCAGAGCTGAGCCAATCATTTCTCTGTTTCCATGGCATGGGCGCAGCAGCAAGCATCACAGTTGTCAGAACTTCTCTAAAATTTCACAAGCGTGGGAATCCAATTTTCCCAGCTGTATATAGGGCCTTTAGGAGGCAATAGGCTCCTGAGCACAACTGTTCTGAGTAATTTACTTGGCTGAAACATTTGATTCTCATTACTGTCAGACTGGGACTGTGTGGCTAAAATCCCGGCAGTGCTGATGGATGTGAGCTATTATATGTGAAATGTGCAGAAATGTACAGTGTCATGAGGATGAGGAGGCTAATTGTTCACCAAGATAATCAGCATCAGTGGCCATTACCTAATCTAGAGATTTGAAATCACTGGGAGCTGGATGTCTATTCTTCTGTACGAAGCCAAATAACAGTTTTGACAGACTATATAATCATGGCTTCTTATGAAGGTCCAGCATTAGAGCAAGCTCCAACTTACCTGAATTTACGTTACCCCTGGAACTACCACATAGTACCTTTAGGTCCATCAGTAACACTTCTGTAACTGGCCCACTGCAGGAGTGGAGAGGGTTCCTTGTAAATGTATATATTTTTCATGGAGGGGAAGACTGGGGAGAAGAAGACTGTCAAATCACAGAAGTGTGTTAAAATTGGACAGTCTGGGAAGTAAGGATCATGCAGTTAAGAGTTGTCATGCTGGAGCTGAATTTAAGAACTTGTTTTTAATTGGTTGAGGTACAGCTTCAGAAATGCTTTTATTGAACCTAATCAAAGTACAACTACACAGAAAACCAGTAGGACAGAGAGTAATTCACACTAAAATTAAACCAAGGCTGTGACAACACAAGACCCAGGAAATTCTGTGTTAAATGTTGGTGTACTTTAGGTCTTCCAACAGTAGGCCCAACTAACACATCAAAGAAACGGCTTTGGAGCTCCCTCTTGTGCTTGAGTCAGGGCATATGTCATCTGTACCTTTGAATTACTTTGTATTGTTTTATTTCAAAGTTTTGTCATGCTCTTAATGTAGTTACCATGCATAAAATATTTTTATTCTACATAATTCACAAATTATACTCAGACGCTGCATGGATCATGAATTACAATCCAGTACACAAGGTCAATGGGCCAGATTCAGCCCTGAAGTAAGGTCCATTAAGGAGCTGTGCGTGATTTCTTCCACTTAAGTTCAACAAGTTCAGAGCTGAATTTGGCTTAGTGAGGCTGAATGTTAGAGATCTATTAGAAACATCTTGAACAAATTCTAAGCATATACAATGTCATTTAAAAAATGAAACAGCTCCTCTGCTTTTTTCCTTGGGTGGTCTCCAATCAAAGTACTGACCAGGCCTGACCCCACTTATATCGTGATCTGATGAGGTCACAGCCCTAGGTGGAAAAGCTTCAGGTAAGGCAGATTTATCTTAATCCCTTCTTCCTGATATTTCACTGTGTCCTTCAGGTCTCACCTTCAACAATACATTGATTTCTTTGTGTTCACTGAGCCAAATTCCAGCCTGATACAAGTGGATAAAATGCCAATGAAGTCTGTGCAGACAGGTGAAAGGAGTCTGAATTTGGCCCATTTTCCCATCCCATTCCCAATTAGTTATTCCATACATTTATTATCTTTTGTGTGAAGTAGTTGTTCTGCCTGGAATTCCCTATTTGCTCCTAGCTTTGAAATTACATCCTTTCGTTTCTGAATCTCTTACCGGGTAATATCAAATATATCAATCCCTTTTATGAATTTTGAAAGCCTGTCTCAGGTCACCTTGAAGCCTCTTCTCTTGCATCAAGAATAAGTCCAACAGACTAACTTTTCCTCATAACTTACATTCTTCAGACAGACTTTTTTTGGTCCTGCTGAACCCTGCATCTCCTTCAAATGCAATAATATGCTTACTGTTGCGGAGTAACAAGTATCGATCAGTGCAGACATCTTACACATTACTTTTTTGCTTCCAACCTTGAGCTGATTATATTAGTAACATTTTTTTTATGCCCTCAGCTACCATAGTGCTAATACACTAGATGCCCAGATTTCTCCAGAAGGGATAAACAGGTAGTGTGGTGTAGACATAAAAACTATTCTGAGACATGGCTGTATTGTGGAAAAAAGCTGCTGCATGGATGCATCTCCTCCATGTTTGTTGTAAATGAGTCTCATGAAAGTATGTTACAAACTGGTTACAAAAACAGTTGTAATTGTGGAGTGCCTAAACGAGAACTGTAAATAAGGATTGTGAAGATGCAAGGAGGACTGATAACACAAATTATGAAAATCCATTCTTAAAGTATTGTATTGAGAACCATCATGGCCTAGTGGATAAAGCACAGGACTTGGGACTCAGAAGACCTGGGTTCTATTTTCAGCTCTGCCACTACATTGCTGGGTGGTCTTGGGCAAATCATTTTACATCCCTGTTTCCCTCAGTTTCCCTGTCTGTAAAACAGGGACAAAAATACTCTGACCTTCTTTGTACCTTGAGATCTATAGATGAAAATCACAATGTAAGAGCTAGATATTAGTGAGAACAGCAGTATGAAGCCATAGCAGGGCCTGGTCAAGTAGAGATTTAATATCTGAGATAGTCTATAGCAATAGACATTTAAGGGTTGACATATTCTTCCTAAAGTAGCCATTTTATGAGCTCTTTGAATTACAATCTGAATGTTTTATTTAGTGGAAGAAGACAGCAAATTTCTCAAATGGAAGAGAAAACATTTTCCTTAGGTTGTTTTTACCCAATTCCCTAAAATTAAACACACGTTATCATAGACACAGACTCATAGACTTTAAGGTCAGAAGGGACCATCATGATCATCTTCTAGTCTGATCGCCTTCACGTTGCAGGCCACACCCTCACCCACTCACTCCTGACATATAAAATACTATATGGATTTTTTTTAGGAAATTATTAAAATGTACCATAAAAGTAAATAACCATGAGATAACTACTGTATTTTGGAGAAGTTCTCTGGGCTGTAGTAATAAAGGAGGTCAGACTAGATGATCACAGTGGTCCCTTTTGGCCTTGGAGTACATGACCTTGATAGTAAATTATTACAAAGCTCTTACACTTGTACACCTATCTTGGGATATCACATTTATTTCCATGCTACTGAGAGGGCCTCAAAGCCCTGGTGCACCAAGGACCCTCCTATCCTTAGCCTCTGGAAAATAACAGTCTAGTCTCCACTAATACTTTGGTCTAATGTTGAGTGTAGCGTGTGGGTGCTGTTGGTGGCCTATGATATATAGGAGGTCAGGCTAAATGATGGAGCGGTGCCTTCTGGCCTTAAACTCTATGACCATGACTACATTTACACCAATTCTTCAAAACCTCTAAATCTATTTGAGGGTTTTAGATCACTCCTGGAGCACCTGCCACATAAAATTGCTAGCCGCAGCAAAATCTCTCGTGGTCCCTAAGGAGTCTTTGTTGCTTCTCCCTTTTCAGGCTGAAAATCTGATCTCCTCTGACGGTTTCTGCCAGAGCCCGATCCCCTGGGCAGCCAGTCTGTTCCCTCGGTGACATGAGTCGCCATGAGCCGTACACCCGGGCCGCAGCCACGTTGGGGAAGGAAGGTCACTGCCTGGGAGTCCCAGCGGAGAGCCCGAGCCACCGCCTGGTGCCAAGGACACGCGAGGAGGGGGCGATGGAGAGCGAGCCCGGCAGCGCCCTGAGCCTCCCCAAGGACCGACAGCCCTGCCCTGACCCCGCCCGCCCCGGGGAAACTGAGGCACGGGCTCCCACCCCAGTCACACAAACAGGGCCAAGGATGGAACCCAGGAGTCCTGACAGCCAGGCCCGCTCCCCTACTCACCCGCTCCGCGCCCAGCGCCTCTCGACACGTGGGGGAACCGGCAGCCTCAGCTCCTCCTTCCGCCCCGCAAATTCGCTACGTTTACCCGCACCTCACGCCGCGTGGAGACGAATCGGCACATAGGGATCCGCTGACAGATTTACCTTGGCCCGCGGCACAGGGTGGTGTAGCATTGTAAAGTGTCCCCCATGCCCCGGGAGTGCCTGGGGGGCCCACACAGTACGGCGGGGACAGCCGTACCGGAACACGATGCACCCGGAGTACAGAGCTGAACCACAGGCAGCTATTACAGCATTATAGCGGGGAACGGTTGGTTGTATCGCGTATTTGTTCCACCCGGACAGTAAAGAAAAGGGACCGCGCAGCGGTAGTGAATGGCCTTCCTGTGGGAGGCAGCTTTACGCATGCGCCCTGGATATGCGGCGTCTCGCGCGCAAGGCCGAATCTCTCCCCCCCCCCCCCCGCATGCATATTGATTCTGAGCTCCCGAAAGCCTGCAGTAGCAAGCGCATGCGCGGTGCTACCCGGGAAAGGATTGGGCAGGCTGGCGCCGCCGGTTTGGAAGCGGCGGGTGGGGAAGCTGGTGTTGTTACCATGGTAACTAGCATTTCCGGTGGCTGCTGGGTAGGGGTGAATGAGGGTGTGCTGTAGCTTCCGGGGAAAACGGGGCGAGGGCACCCTGCACCCCAAGGTAGGGTGTGGGGGGTCCCTGTACTCCTAGGGGTGCGGGGGAGGGAGCCGTGCGCCCTGTGCCCTGCCGGGCGGGCAGTGGGGGCTGGGGGAGGGAGCCTGCGGTGGGGGAAGGGGGTGCTGCACCCCAATTCTTGACGTGTGTGCTGCACCCTATCCTCGCTACAGCACTGTTGCTGGCTAGGTGGGCGCTGCTTGGTACCGAAATACTGTGGCGTTAGGCCCATGAGAACTGTTCAGGGTAGCTCGTCCCTGCCCCTCCTATGGTAAAACGATGAGAGCTGGGGGAGGTGACTGGTTGTATATGTTGGTTTAGATCCTGGGATGACTTGCTGGAATCTATCTTGTAAACCCCACTCGCTTCCCCCCCCCCCTTGCTCTTATTTCTTTAATCCTAGGTTATTGTGATGTAGGTGCCCCTGTCCATAATCAATTCATAAGCATTAATAAACTGTCCCTTTTAGTTGGTTAATAATGTTATTAAACCCCATTAATAGGTTGGTTGTGAGTGTTGAAAACTGCCTTGTGAGCTCCTCATGGAGGTGGAAAGTAATTCTAGTGTCAGCCAGGACTCTACGGCTAGTTTCGCTGCCAGTGATGTGCTTATCCGCTCCACCAGCCTCCACACAAAAGAAAAACCCACTGGCACTTGGACAGCAGCTGCTGACTGCGGTAGAAAAAAAGTTAAAATTTCGGTAAAGAAGCTTCGTGAAGTGGCTTCTCCCTACCAGGCAGATGATGCAGCTTTGATTAAAGACAAAACATCCTATATTCCTCCAGCATTGTCAGCAAACAAACCTCTGCCGAATAGATCAACTGTCACTACCTCCAGCAGCGTTACACAGGGTATGTGATCAAACCCCATTTCTTTGGGGTAATTTGTCTAGTCGGATCCTTTTTCTAGCATGTTATTTATGGATGTATTTATATTAGGAAAGTTGTCTGTAAAGATTGATATGAATTGGTTATACTTTTTTTTTGTTTTCTAATTGACCAGGTTTAGCCAGTTTTGTGAAATACTACTTTGTTTTTAACATGTTTTGTATAAAATATTTTAGAATGTTTTTCTAACTTTGTACAAAATGTCCCCAAACTTCACACACTTCTTAAATATGGCTCCAAATTCTGTGTACTACATTCATTATGCGGATAAATTTGCTATTGGCTATTCATTATGATGAATTAGAAGGAAGGATATTCTGTGTCTTGTACCTTTGGGTCATTTTAGCCTTCTTTGTACCTACAAGGGGATTGCAGGTCCTACTGTAGCACTGTACTGGAGGAAAGATCACAGGC